TCTTGGGGTTTTATACCATCTGGGAAAGTCTTGCATATCGAATGGATTTATCTGATAGGAACAGGGATCTAAAGAGCTGCGTTTCTCTTTGGTGACTCAATCGTACCTGCAAACTCCCAGCAGCATCACTGGCAGATGACGTTAGGCAAAGAATAGCAGGTTTGGCTCTTATTTTACCCATTTTCTAAACACAAGTGCTCTTGTTTTAGTAATCTGATGGAAGTCAACCTTCATCAATTTAAAATATTCCTTCTTTGATATCATTAACTGCCTGCCTTAATTTTGGAGATTTTCTGAATTTATCCCTTTCTTTGGCCTCATACCTTGGAAGGAAAATCGTGGCAGGCATAACCAAAATGTTCAGTTTTATAGTTGCTGTCCAATCATTACAATCTGTAGAAAGCTAAGAGCATGTTCTCATAAAAGCTTCAAAAGGTGTATGAAGATACAGAAAGTCCAATACAGTAAATTGAACATTATTACTGTTAGACAAAGTGATAAAGAAATCACTGAAAAAGGACTGTTGATGTACTCTGTTAAGTCTCCAATACCAATTGTGAAGTAAGGCAGTGTAATGCCTCCTCTTACGGTTCTATTTCTGTAGGCAGCAGGAGCAGCTGATCCAGAGGCAGAACCTCCCCCATGTGCTCCTGGTGGCCTGATCAAGGCCAACTTGGAAGATTCCAGGTTTGGAACAATCTGGGATASTGGGAGGTGTCCCTGCCCATGGCATGGGRTGGGATGAGATGGGCTTTAAGGTCCCTCCCAACCCAAATCATTCTGGGATTCTCTGAGCCTTTTGCTAGCACTAAGGGACACCAGTTGTAATGTTGTTCCTCTGATGTTTTGTAAGTACCTTTTCATATATTGGATATTTTAACTGCTTCTTTGACTGAAGTTCCTTTAGTGGGGATACTGTACAAGCCTCTGCAGCTATGGGGGTGGAGCCAGAAAACAAATTAAGCAGGAAATAAAGTCCAGCAGTGAAAGCCATTGAGCTGCTCAGTCAAGGAATACATGTAGTTTGAGCTCAGCGATGGGTGAGACAGACACAAGGGGAGCAGCAGCCTGATAGGAGAAAGGAAGCTGACTGTCTGTCCCAGTGATTTTCGCAGGACACTGTTCTGCACTGCAGCATAAACGCAGACAGCATCAATCAAAAAGGAGGCCCTGATATTCTCCTCTAAAGTTACTATTCTGTTATTCTCCTCACTATTATTCTCTAAAGTTACTATTCCCAGACCACCCTCTTTGTCAAGTGTATTGRCCTGCCCTTTTCATCTCCTCCTCAGCCTGGTGTAGGCAAGTCCCCATTCTCTTCCTAACCAGGTGTTTCTTGGTCAGATGGTCTTTCATCACTGTGCCGTTCAAATTCTTCCTTTTCTTGAACAAGGACTTAAAAGTATTTCACTGCCAACAGATCACATAATATATTGATTCAGGTTTTTTCTAGCTTATAAAAATATATATTTCCCCCAGAAAATGATAACCTTTAAAGATTTAATCCAAGTATATGTCTCTTTGTTCATTGGCAGTGTTTTCAGATCATCAGACCAACTGAGTTTGTAAAACCTCTCAGTAATTCTCCCCCTTTTATTTTCATATTTCAGCAGAAACATCAGCACCTGGTGTTTGTTATTTACTGCATGTATTTTGTTTGCCTCTTAAATGTTCTGAAATTCTTCCACAGAAGGCTCAGCTTCTTAGGGAACAACCACTTATTGTTTGCCTATCTCCCTCTTTAAGCAGCTCATTAAAGCACTCACTCTATCGTTCTGTAATCACATTCTTTGTGATCAACACATTTACATTTGTGTCCTTTATCAGAATTGCTCGGGTGTACATTTATATGTAAAATTACCTCATATTCCTGGTGTGTCTGTCCTGTTCCAATTCTCCACCACACCAGGTAACTGTGAGTGGAGGTGTTTGCACKGTCCTGTAGTGTGAGGAGGGATGTGCTGATTCCATGTGAATCTCATCACAGCAGTGTGGAAAAGCAGAGCAGAGCAGCAATGACATTAAGTCAGCCCCGATGTCTGTTAGTGACTCTTACCCCTGATGTTAGGGAGTCCTCACAGAGCACATGCTGCACTGTCTGCCTCCCAGCTCAGCCTCCTCTGACCAAAATAAATGCTAACGTGCTGTGATGCATGACTTCCAATTTAAATGAGCAGAAAATTCACTTTGTAATTTTACCAAATAATGAAAAATGCATATTTGCTCATCAATGTCTCCTGCCTTATTCTGCTCTTAAAATTGCTCAGTATGCTCTGAAAGATGTGTTGGATGTTTACTTGCAGTACTTCACTGTAACRTTTCATCAATAATCTTTAAGGTCCCAACTGCACCTGGCTGGTCCTTATGACAATAACACAAGTCTAGGAAGTATTTTTTACTGGAAAATTATTGTTGTTCTCACATTGAATGCTCATCACCACACACTGTTGATGGGAGAAAGGAAATAAGTTCTGAGATTGCTCACCCTATTTTTAAAGCTAGGAAGTACTGGGATAGACATTTCCTCACCTCATTCACAACACAGGATGCAAAGTACTCACTATCTACCTCCTATCTACTCAGTTGTGCTCACTGTAAACACATTGTGATGTTTAGTCCTGGCCTATTTTATCACATTCCTCCCTAATATCCCAGTCTTTACTGAACTTAACTTCCTGACATGCCTATGAGGAAAGGTTCCAGCTTGACTGAGAAAAAAATAAAGAAAATAAACAACCCTTAGTATTTTGGGGAGCAATTTAACGTGCAAGGGCTTGATTTGCCAGCACTTTTAACACCACACATCTTTCTAGGCTCAACTCCCACTAACTTAAATTGCAACTGCAAAGTTCAGCTCTTCTCTGAATCAGACCACACAATTTCAGGATGTGCAATCAGAAAATGAGTAATACRCAGACGGAAGCTGCAGGGAGAAGTGAACTGTCCAGCAGCACACATTCCTCTGGGATAGAATTGCTGAGGTACTGATAAATAAGACACTAGCTGARTAAATAGTGCAAAAAGTGCTCCTAGGTAAAGAAAAAGTCCTGTGTAAGTTTACTTGCTTAGAATAGACTAGTTAACTTCTGTAATACCACTAAGTTATATCTGGATGAACTCTTAGGTGGTRTCCCTGGACCACAGCTGATCTTCTGGCCAGATTTAAGTATCTTTACTCCAAGATGCTAGTCCCTTCCTGAAAGTTGGAATGTATGTATTACCATCCCTCTGTCATAGGTAAAGRCAGGCAGAGCCTCCACACAGTAACTTCATTCACTAAATAACTTCTATATTAATTCCAGGTGTGTGCACTTCACCGGAATGGTGAAAAGACCCTACCATTAAAATATCTGTTGACATGATAGAACAAGAACAAATTAATGTTGCCCTACCAGCCTGACTTTAGACTTACAAATTGTAAGTCTTTTGAGAATAGTTTCAGGTATGTTCAAAGTTTCTAAAAAACAAATTGTAAAATGCACAGAAAAGTCATCCTACATAGAGTCATGTTCATTCCTACATAAATCAACAGTTTTAAGTCTTTAGCAACAACATCTGTAACAAACTGACCTKTACAGTACATCTGTTCTGTACTGTACAGAACCATACACTACAAATTACAATCAACTACTAGAAAGTAAAATACACATTTTGCAACCAGATTTCAAAAACCAAGCTTAAAAATGAAGAGTTGTGATTCACAAAATTCCATTACAGGCTCTGAACACAGTTAAACATATGGATTTATCAGGGATGGTTAAAAACTTCCCTCCTTTTTTAACTTCTTCCTAATTGTCCTACTTCCCTTCTTCTACCACACTTTTGAGCAACACACAGGAAAAGGTCAAGTCCACATTAGTCTCATGAAATGTGGCTCCTTACTGTGCTACTTGGAGAAGCTCCAAGTGCCTCAGACCAAGATTGCTTGTGGTATCCACCTGGTTTGCAGAGTTCATGTACCACTAAAATTCTCATCTCAACATCTTCACCTTTTTCGGAACTTCGGTCTGACTACTAATTTTTTTTTTTCTCTAGGACAGAAATAGTACAAGAAAATAAGCCTTACTTGAAAGGTATAAGGATATAGAAAATTGGCATTTTTATAACCAAGAACCAAGGGCCACAAAGATGGTCAGAGGGCTGGAGCACCTCTCACACAAGGAAAGGCTGGGACAATTGGGATTACTCAGCCTGGAGAGGAGAAGCTTTGGGATGACCTAATTGTGGCCTAGTAYCTTAAGGGGCTGACAGAAAAGATGGGGAGAGACTATTTACAAGGGCCTGTGGGTGACAGGACAAGGGGGAATGACTCTAAACTGAGAGGTATTTGAGATTAGAAATTAAGAAGAAATTGTTCCCTGTGAGASTGGTGTGGCCCTGGCATAGGGCGCCCAGAGCAGCTGTGGCTGTGCCATCCCATGCAGTGTCCAAGGCCAGCTTGCACACTGGGGCTTGGAGCAACCTGGGATGCTCCAGTGGAAGRTGTCCCTGCCCATGGCAGAGGTGGGAGTGGGTGATTTAAGGTCCATTCCAATTGAAGCCATTCTGAGATGCTATGGTAACAAATGAACTGTTGCTTAGCTGTTAGCACCGGTGTGCCCAGGGAACACGGGCCCAGGTGAGCCCAGGTGAGCCCAGGGGTGCCCAGGTGGCCAGGAAGGCCCAATGGCACCTGGCTTGTTCCAGCACTGGGGTGGCAGAAGGACCAGGGCAGTGACTGTCCCCTGTGCTGGGCTCTGGTGAAGCCACACTTCGAATCCTGAGTTCAGTAATGGTTCACTCACGACAAGGCAGACATTTAGGAGCTGGAGCCTGCCGGGTAAGCGTCTGGAGCACCAGCCCTGTGAGGGGCTGGGGTGATGGCGCGGAGAAGGGAGGTTTTTCTGAAATGCAGCACCTCGCCGCTGGCGCCAGCGGAGCTCCCCTGAGGGAAGGCGGTGCGGCCCCGGGGGGCGGGGGGAGGCCCTGGGCCGCCCTCCCGGCCCCGTGACCCTCTCGGCGCGCAGATCCCGCCGCACTCCCGCGCCCCGCACGGTCCCGTTCGCGCGCGGAATGGCAATGGCTCCCCCCGCCCGCACCATGGCTTCCCCCGCTCCCCGGGCGCTGCCTCTCCTCCTCCTCCTCCTCCTGCACCTCGCCGCCTCCTCCAAGCTCAACACGCCCAAGGTGCTGCTCCCCTTCACCCGCGGCACCCGCGTCAACTTCACGCTAGAGGCCAGCGAGGGTTGCTACCGATGGTGAGTGCAGGTGCCGCCGCCCTTTGTCCGCTTGTGCTCTTCCCGCCGGCACCTGCGGCGGCTCCTCGGCCCGCGGCGGGGCCTGAGGGCTCCTCAGGCTGCTGGGCCCTCCCTCACCCCTTTCACCTCGCTAGGGGTGGGTTTGGGCGGCCCAGCAGTACGGGAGSAGACAGGATGATAATCCCTGAGGGGAAAGGTTGTTTGTTTTGTGCAGCGGGGGTTAAACCCGCTGRAGAGGGGCAGTGTCTGCGGGCCGGGCCCTGAGGGGAAGGTCCCTGCTTGTGAAAGAAGCTTCCCGCCATGGCGCCGTGCCCGACATGTGCCTCACATCCCGTGTGCACCCACCTACACACCCCACACATGTCCACTTGCTTCTCCCTGTACTGCACACACTCCCACCTGCTTCTGTTTGTTCCCCACACATACATCCACCTGCTCCTCCACCTGCTACCAGACCCACTGTGCCTCCACACAAACCTCATGTGGCCACCGTGCTGCCCCGGACAGCCACAGTGCCACCCCACACACACATCGCCGCAGTCCCACATGTGTGGGGATAGCACCCTGAACTTGTGCTGCTGGTGGGGAAATGCCCCTTCTTTTGCTGTAGTCGGTAATGAAATTCTTCACAACATTGAGCTCAGTGTATGGACATAAAGGAATCCTATCTAAGTTGGGAGCATCTCACTGCTGCTGTTAGTGTAGGTAACAGCACTCTTAATACATAATCTGGGGACAGTGAAGTCGAGTTTAAAAAGTGAAAGCTTTCCCGGTTTTCTCAGTGTTGAGCACGTGGGATGTACTCCAGGAACTTCTGGCYGGGAGCTCCCTTCTGCCTCACACAGGGGGATGACTGGGCAGTGCTGAGCACAGGGGCTGAAGGCAAATCCCACAGCGTATGTAAATTTAGAAAGCTCACAGTAGTCTTCATTTAAACAAATGTTGCCAACTCCTTATTTCTATAGCACTCCAGAATGGTAACTTAATCAGTAACGAGCAGGAGGTACCCACCTGAAAAATGGAGATATGTTTAGAATGAAAATTCCATGTGTGCCAGATGGGTGCGTGCAGCAGTTTTTTTTGTGTCTGGCAGTTATTGAAATACATTTTAAAGGGCTGTTTTCATTCTCTGTCAGTTTGCTTGGKGATTATATGTTTCTCATCTCTGGGCTGGGTACAAACCTTTGGTCTGTGACAGTTTACATGTTTGMGGGTGCTTATGGGGAAGAGCAGTAATTCTTTTTATTCAGAAGTCGACTAAAAACAAAAGTGACCAGATGAGCTGCTTGTGGTCATGTAATTAAATTTTTAATGGACCATTTTAGTGAAAATCTYACAAGCGTGCATTTTTTCTTCTTTYTTACTCWGATCTTCGAAGGCTATTGAGTCTTTGAAAGGATTTGGTTTGTGAGGTAAAGGATATTGCATAAAGCTAAAACCCAAAACTCATCAAAGCACTATTAAAATTTGGAAGTAGACTGTTTCCTGTTTTGCCAGAGAGCTGTTCAGTGATGCTGGGCTGGCTGCAGCTATTCCTGTATGTGCCAGGTGCTATCTAGCTGTCAGAAGCATGGAGACCTTTGCTAATCGCACTGAAATCTACAGATGAAACAATGTAAGATTGTGTTCCAGAGAAATGCCAGATATGATTTGTGTCTTTAATGGAGGTGATTTTTGTGCACTTCAGAGCATGTTCTTTTGGAGCTCTTTACCAGCAGTGACTCATCTCCYTCATGCAGACAGGCTTTAACATCCTTTTCCATCCTCTTGCTTTGGCCTTCGGAGATGAATTTTGGTTGAGAATTAAGGAAACTATACCTAATTCACCTTCCATGTGCTGTTATTTTTTGTGACAGGGTTGTTAACAATGGATATTTATTCACTTCTGCTTTGCAAGGCCTGGCAGGATGTGGGTGGTAAAAYTCACCGTGTACTTAGCAAACCCTCCGGAGGAAGCAGGAGCTGTGTGTGTGACTGAGCAGAAGCAGCAATTGCATCTGGGGCTCTCTCCTACATCYTCTCAGTCCTTGAACTGTGGGGGATTAGAAAGAAGTGTACCTGGAGGAGCAGCTCCACAGCTATTTGCTGACAGATGTCCTGTACTTTGCCATTTGAGCTGTCAAAAGGAGCTATTACTGGAGAGGGGTTGTTGAACTGAACAAGTTAAGAAATACCAAGTGCTTGASAAGGAGTGACTTCTCCTCATATTTGTGAAATGATGGATATGTTTGCATGCATGAAAACAGAGTTTTGAATGCAGGTGTGATTCAGGCCCTCTGTCTGCAGAGGGGACTGAGGGTGAGTAATATGGGAGATTGTGAAGTTAGGGGTAACCTATGAGAGCTGTGGTTGTACAGCAGTGTCTGATACCAAATGACATCTTTTGAAGGCCTGCATTCTCATACTCATCTCAAACATTCAGAATTCATACACAGGTGTCCAATTTCCTGAAAAAACAGTCTATAGCATGTTGTGACCTTATTTTTTTCCCAGTTTCCCTTTGAGCCTTCAAGTTTACTTCTGAAAGTAGGAGATTTTCAAAGTGATTGTAGCCATGTCTGAGAATTCCAGTGATTCAGAGGGAAAAGATCAAGTTCTATCATCATCCCAGCAGATCGGGAGCAATGGTAAAGTTATAATCATGGTTCTAAAATATTTYCTGATTTTCAAGATGCCCATGCCCTCTGGAGTTTGGGTTGCTTTTATGTTAGAATTATTTTTTGTGAAAACCTTCGTTTGCAAAGCATACGGTGTTTTCTTCTGTAAATATTGTACAGTATCTTCAGGGATAAAACACTGCCTGTGCAGATATATTTAGCATTTATATTACATCTGYATTTATCTTTTAATTACTTTAATGCAGAAATTACACTTGAAAGAATGAAAGCATTCAAGAAGTAGAATTCTCTCCTTGAAACCTGCCRTACCATAATAACATTTCAAAGGGGAGGAGGAGAACACACAAGCACCCCAAGGTACACAGTATGTCTGGGTATTTATAGCAGAAATTATCTGCAGTGTACAAATATGTTTACATATTTCATTTTTCCATACAGTATAGAATTGAGATGTATGGTAAGAGCTGGTGGAAATGGAGTTTATTGCCACCTTAAATAGAAAGTTTGTGTGTGCTAATGAAGCCCTCACTGAGGAGGTTATATCAAGCTAATTTCCATGGGAAAGGAGCTGGTGGTAGAGGGAGAGATCCAGTGGCCARGTGGTATTGAAGCTATGGGATGCACAGGTACTTCCAAAGAGCCCAAAGCCACCGCACAATGCTGCTGTCACAGTAATTGGCTAGAAAAGCTCATTTTTAGTTCCTTATCTTGTCATGCTTTTGTTATAAATTGATCTTTCTGCTCCATGGCATATATGTGATGGCTTATGTGTTTTTAGAAATGCATAYCAGTAGTGTTGATCATTAAGAGCTGTTGCTTTGCTGTAAGACCAACATTGTCATCTCTGGTAGTCTGGAAGTTGTGTTGTTTCCTGTTTTACCACAGGTCTAAAACGTCCTATCTGACTCTCCCTGAAAAATATTTTGTGTGAGATACCATTAACTTCCATATTATGAAGTGACAAATAATGTTTGTAGTCCCCTCTGCATTTCCCTCTTGTAWGGCACTGCAGTCAGCAGCAGGATGTCCTCCCTCTCCCTGACCTAACGTGGCTGTGCTTTCCCAGCAGGGCTTCAAGCTCTTCTCAGTGCAAGGACGAGCTTAGAACTGGGTTGAGCTATCCTTGTTGGTAAAGTGAGAGGGGCTGTGCTGCTGTGGCTCMGGTGTGTGTTACCTGAGCGTGTTGGCTCAGAACCAGAGTGGGGTGTGTGAGTCTGCAGCAAACATGTTCTTCCAGAGCCCAGGAGGCAGAGGAAATAAGTGTTTTTTCTCTTAGCTGATGTGTCAACATCAGTGCAGGTGTTGTTAAAAAAMCTTTTTCTCAATGTGAGCATCGCCAGCCTAAAAAAGGCAGACAAAAGGAATAGGAGGACTTGCTGATTTTGGGCAGCTTCCCATTGTTGAACACCCATGAAATAAATGTTTGATGACTTTTGGTCTTTTGGGGTGCAGTTCTTACCCTAGTAATTGAAGCTTTATGGGTTGTCTACAATGAGAAGTTTTAAGAGGGGTTAATTTGAAATAATGAAAAATGTGACATTTGTGTTTGACAGTAAGCTGCCATTTTTTTATTTTTTATTTTGTTACTTGCAGTCATGCTAAATTAATTTTAGAATAACTTGTGTAGGCCGAGCTTTACTTTTTGCATTCTCTTGGTTGGAAGGTGCCTCTCACCTAGTGTGCATATTGTTTTCCTTTGTGCATGTGGAAATGGGCCAAAAAGAAGCCCTTGGGATAAAATKATTTTGGGCCCTGGTTGATTTGACAAAATGTTCAAGTTACAGTTGGGCGTCTGTTGAATTTTGGGAACAATCAGCACTGGCTTAACTTGGCTTCCTTTGAAGTTACTGGGCATGCCAGCTGATCACCGATGTAAAATCTCTGGAGCAGAGGCTCTGTCCTTGGCTCACTCTGTGGTGTGTGATGTTTCCATTTGATTTTAAAGCAGAACTGGATGGAGGAATTTTTTTTGCTGCTTTTTGTTTTTCCAGTACAGTAAGAAACATCCTAGGAGAAGATTGAGTGAACAACAGAGACATTATCTGCCACTGGGTTGTTAAAAATCTTTAAGTATTGAGGGAAACTCTGCCAGGCTCCCTCTCTGCATTTTCTTTGGAATGGGTTCAGTTCCCATACTCTTGATTCCTTGGTAATCTACTATTTATCATACTGCAGTTGCCCAAATGCTGTTTTGGCTCTTGTGTCTYTTAATTTCTGTTTTAGTCCCAAGAGTGACTATATAAGGTCCYTGGTGTATTGGTCAATCCAATCTTCCCAAACTCTTGGAAACTTTAACTGTCCAGTTTCCCTCTGATCATGTATCTGCCCCAATGCCTGATAACATTCTAAAAGATCAGATCAACTGACAGTCACRGTGCAGCTCCATAAAGGTGGATTTTTGCTGATTCAGTCAATTYAGTTTGAAGAGCTGGCAGAGCAGTATAAAACACTGGAGCAGTAAGAATCAGCAGAGAATTGCTAGGGAGAGAAACAGTAATAGATTCCTGATCTTTGAATCAACTGGTACATAAGTATAATCTAATGAGGTATTGACATGTGGTATTACAGAACAGTCGATTAAAGAATGCAGGCCTCGATTTGGGTAGATCTATAGATACAATCTTGGCACATGCCTCTGTGTCTGGGGCTGTGGAGGGGGACGGAAATAATGAATGAAACAGAAATCAGCAAGAGGACTGGCAGCCTCTTGGCAAGTGCCATTCATTCCTTAGCAAGTCAGATTTTATTCTGAGGGAAGTAAGTATTGGGGACTTTTGTGAGCTTTTTTTCCCCCTTTCCTTCTCACTCTTTCTAGTGCTGCCTCCCTGCCTTGCTGTTTCTTTCAGGAGCTGGCATGAGATCTAGCGTTAGTGCCAGAAATGCTTCCCATTGCTGGCTTCTCAGGATCTAATTTTGCCCTCTGACAAACCCAGCTCTCAGTGTCACACACTGACACACTGCTGAAGAGCTGCTGCAATTGGCAGAGGATATAAACTGCAGTTTTTGTCACTTAAAGCTGAAGTTTCTTTTCCTTGCCCATCTTGTACTCAGCAGCGATCCCAGAGTAATGCCTCGGTAATTCCCAGCCTGGCTGAATAATGTCTTTGCCTCTCTGTGCTTGCCCCTGCATCTAGGTAGCTTTAAACAGAACGTGTCCTTGATACTTCTGAATGATGAAGGGGTCATCAAATACTTCATATGTTCTGCAGTAAAAAACACTAATCATGCAGGTTGTTTTTAAATACAAATCCATATGAAACYAAGCCTCAGAGAGGTCCCCTTGAGTAAAATTTATATTAAAAAGAGACATTCAGCTGATACTCTACCTCTTAAACTACTGCTAGAAACCAAATAGTGTCTAATGTCAGGTTCTCTACTGCAGTGACARCTAAGAGTTAACTGGCTTTCAGCGGTAAAAGTTTGAAAGTTCTTTTAAAATTGTGGAGTGTAGGTAAGTTTACAGTTAAAAATTAATTTTGTTGATCTTTGTTCTTCCCTTTTTCTAATCTGAAAASTGTCTGTAATTAGATTCAGTTTCACAACACTGCTATTAGTGCAAACTGCAGTGGTTTTGTATTACAAATCATAGCCAGATATTAAAGGAACAAATACAAACCACAGTGAAACCCCTGTTGTGTTGTAAACACAATCAATTCCAGACTGAAAGAATGCAAAACCCTCAATAACAAAAAAAAAATCTAATGGCAGGGAATATTAGCAGTGTAAAAACCTAAATAAAAGTCAATTTCATGCCTATACTACTTAAAAATACCTGCGTGCAGACTAAGTCAAATCCACATGCTCAGCTTCAAAAGCCAGCCAGCCAAGTACAGGAAAAGCCTCACTGGTTGTGAATGCTAATGTTGTTTAAAGAAACTTGCTAAAACTTGGAAAACTGTTTCATCGTTGCCTCAGAACAACAGAACAACAGGAAAATTACTAATGACTCACTTTTAATCTCTGTAGACTGTTAAGTGTGCTACTAATACAGAAAGTATTAATACAGAAAATAGTAGTATAGAAACAGTATAAATTCTGCTATTTAAATATGCGTATTTGTGTACATTGCTTAGGTATGTAGATTAGATAAACAGTTTTCAGGTTTAAGCTTCTAATTGGTGCTTAAATTGCCATTGTATACTGCTGTGGGCTGTTTTTTCCTTGATCAGATAAAATGCTTTGAAATTCTGGGTCAGCAGTTGGTACTGTTGTTTCAAGATCCTCTAAAACTACTCCTTATATAAGCAAAATAGTGTTGGGAGCTTAAGGTTAGAAACGGGATTTGCAATTTTATTGCAGGGGCTACAAGCAGAGGCGTGTGCTCACCTGGGCTGCAGCTGTTAACTCTTAGATAACTGAATGTGGTGTGATGTGGTTTTTTTTGAATAGATAAAATTTTAGTTAAGGAAAAATTTATTTTTTCAGTAGTGTGAATTTGTTGATTGTGCCAGTAAGAGAAGGAGGTAAAAGCTGTGTCTGGGGATTGAGGCATGTTTGGAGTTCCCATCCCACTCCTTGCTGGGTTAGAGAACTCTTCCCATTCATCACAAGTAGGCATTTTTGTATATCCTCCAGAAAAAAAGCCTAAACCAATCCAGCTTCCCCATTAAAACCCTTTGCCAGGAAGCRTCCAGGGCCCGGTTTAGATTGCATTTACCAGATAGCGCAGTGTTTTCATCAGAGCTGCTCTCCTCATGCGGAGAAGCAATTCCCAAGCAGCTTTGTCACCCATCAGTGCTTGCGTTCATTGTTTTAATCTTTCAAAGGGCCCTTGTGAGCGAGCCGTGCCCCCGGATCTCCGAGCACACAGCGGGGCTATTTCAGGCGCTGCAGTCCCGAGCGGCTCCCGGTACCGGCTCTCACCCTGCCCAGCTCCGGGCTCTGGGTGAGCACGGCTGGGGAGGAGCAGCTGTGACCCGCAGGGCTGGAGCACCTAGCAGGGGCTTCTGCAGTATTTCACTGCCTCTGCATTTAGCTATCGGATTAATATTGCTTCTATCTCATATGTAATTTCAAGAGGTTTGGGTTTTAATAATTTTTCAGCTTTTTGGTTTTGTTGTTTGATCTTGACGTTTTTGGCACACRGGAAGGGGGAGCTGGGCTCCACTCTGTAATTCCCTGGCCTGTTCTRTGGATTATGGGGAAGGTTGTTTGATTCACACTGGGTGCTGAGCGGGRGAAGCAGTAAACTTCTCAGGAGGGTCGATTTAAACTTTYACTTGTGTTAGGAAAATTAATCCACAAGCACCAGAGGTTTATTTCCAAAAAGGAGACAGAGGAGTCCCGCAACTTTATTCATGAATAAAGGGAGAGGTCATGGGCATTTCYCRTGGGGTCTCTCAAATTCMTAGAGRACGCAGCMTCCTTTTATCCCAATTTCYCGGCCGCAGTCCCCTCTCTCTTTCCCCATTGGCTGAGGTACTTGAGAGGTACAGGCTCCTTGAAACGCCTGATGAAACCCCCCCTTCTATCATACATTGCCCCCTTTCAAAATACATTTCTGTGTCTCTGCTCAGGTAGTCTATTAACATAGACTGGGGTAAGCCAATCACTAGAATTCCTATGCAAATTCTTCCTATTGATTCCTTCTATCTCCCAATATCAGCATTATCTCACCCCAGAGTCAGAGTCTGTTTGTAAAGACACTACCTCCTCATTCCTTTCACTTGCAAACGTCAGAACATTAAGGTAGAATAAGGTACTTGGCAAATTTTAAAACAACATCCAGACAAAGTAAGGCACTTCACAAACTTTTAATTCATCCAGGCACCRYAAGGCGCTTAACAAGGCATYGACTGGAATTTTTTAGTGTGGCTTACAACGTATTTYTAGAGGAAAAACTTAAGAGAAAGGTATGTAGTCACCCCGCAGCGATCCAGCGTGGCCTCAGCTCCGTGTCGGCCCCGGCCAGGGGGGCGGCTCCTCGGCACACATGTCACTGTCCTTTTCCCTGCTCGGCTCGCCTCCCCGGCCACGGCTGTTCTTTACAGTGGCCCGGGCCCACGCAGTCACATGGCGCCGTTTCGGGTTTCCCAGCCTGCCACGGGTCACTCGAACATTTCGGGTCTTGCCCACCTTGTCGGTGTGGAGCAGAGGCTGACCAAGGCTCAGGGGGTTGGGGGGTGGAGCAGTGACCGTCCCACCTGCAAAGAGGTCTCCTTGTCTGCCTCCTCCCCCTTCCCACCCGAGCCAGTCATTTTGGCGTTGTCCTGCCCACATCCATGATGAGCTTTCGATAAGCCCATTTCTGGAGAACTTGTGTGCAAAAAATTCCATGCAGGGTCAGAGCAGGAAGTAATAGACTCATCAGTTTTAGGTCAAAATTCTGTGTCGGCTTACATTGCACCAAACTTGACGATGCAACTTYGCATGTTTTACACAGTGTTACACACTACAGCTAACCAGACTAAATCTTTTTTGTTCTGAAATTTCTTGATTAAAACATGTTTCCTTTTGTTTTTCAGCACCCCTGCCATAGCAAGTGTACCTAATTGTGATGTTCTGCCAGGGGGGAAAGGTTCCAGTTTTTTTCAGAACTGTGTTTCAAACTTGTTTTGAAAATGCAATTACAAGTGGTGAATGGAACTTAAGCTAAAAGTGTTTCACCTTTATTTCAGTGTTCTGTATATGTTTTCACTCGGTTCACACCTCACAGCTAATCAATAGTCAGGCCAAAGGCTTTGCAGCTCTGTTAMGTAGCTGGGTACAGGTCTGGAGTGRCTCAATTGCCCTCAGCAGTGACCTTGCCATGGAGAGGCTGCTATGCTTGTCTGCCCTGGCTCTGGCCTGGGCTTTCCCCTTCCTGAGCCCACACTCGCCTTGGCTGGAGTCCTTGCGGAGCTGCTGCCATTCAGCTCTTAGCAAAGTCACCTGCTGACCGTGCAGCATGTCCCAAGTGCATTGTTTTGGTGGCTGTTGGAGCAGAGCTTTGATTGATGTGCTGACACAGCCCAACCCCACAGGTCATCCACGCGGCCGGAGGTGGCGAGCATCCAGCCGCTGGGGCGGGACGGCTGCCACTGCTCGCAGAGGGCTCTGGTCCAGGCGCGCTCCTCGCAGCCCATGCGCCTCACCACCGTCATCTCTGCCGAGGATACACGTAAGTTTGGGCTTGGGTGAGCCAACCTCTGCTTCTGATGGGCGTTCTGCTCTCCTCAGGAAACAAAGCAGAGACTTAGGAAGTGCACAGATAAATTTCAGTTCCTGTGTACAGTCATTTTAGGCTTTTCATGGATGGGGGTTTTAATTTCTGTTTGTCTCAGATAAGTGGTAATAATTTTAATGATGCATCCAGGAAAAAAGGTAATTCTTAAAAAAAAAAAAACCCAAAAAAACAAACAAAAAAAAAAGCCACAAATAAAGGGGGTGGCTGAAATATAAAAAAAATGTATTTAACAAAAATTACTAATGCAAATTCAGATACTTTGAATTTGAAAAAGCCAGAAGTTGCCTTTTTGTTTGTTGTGCAATATACCTGGTTATTTTTTATGGTGACAAAGGCAAAACTAGATGGACAACTAAATGCCTTGCAGTCACTAACTGRAGGAGTTTATGGGGGTTGATTGTCTGTGGGTAAAAGTCATAAATTTCTCATGAGCCAGCTCTGAGAGTGGCAATGYAGCAACTCTGCATAAGCACTCAGAGACAACGCCTRTAACAGTCAGTGTAGATGGAAATGAGAGTTTCTRCAGATCAGTTKTGGAGTTCAGTGAGGAAGGGAACTGTTTTTCTTGCTTTCTGAGGCACCATTTAACCCAAGAGTTTCTTCATTGAGGTGATGACCCAGTTTCAGTTCCTTCAATGTCAGTGTGTTGTGTCACTGGCTAAATTTGAGRTGTGTCAATGTTGCTGCTCTTGRAGAGCACATCCAGTGTTGTGATTTCTTGTGCTTTCTGATGTCTCTTCAAGTGACAGGACAAGTGCTTCGCTGTGATGCCATCGTTGATTTAATTCATGGCATTCAAGTTGTGTCCACAACAAGGGAGCTCTAYCTGGAGGATTCACCTCTGGAGCTCAAAATCCATGCTTTGGATTCAGAAGGTAAGAGATCTGCTTGTAGGAAATTAAATATATATAAATATGTCATCAGCACTAGCTGATGTATGCACTGGTTTTGTTTGTGACACAGTTGATCGTTTGAAACCAAGTGGAGAATTTTAAAGGCGTTCTCTGGATAATACATTGTGAAGTTGTCTGTTCTTTTTTTCTTTTTCTCCTTTGAGCAGAGGTAGACTAAAGAATTTTACAAAAGGACTTTTTTGTGAGACTAGTCAGGTATCACCAACAGCAAGTTCAGAAATTATGTTGGAGACCAATCACTTATCTGTTAATTACTAGAGAAACAATCACTTTTGGGAAGCACCATTTAGGCTCCTAAGAGTCACTGCCTTTGGACTGAATGCATCATTATTTAATTGGAGCAGAGAGCTTCTGTTTTTTGTGCTGTCTGTAGTAYCAGAAAAAGATTCATGATCTGGTAAGAGTCCTATGCTTTTGACAACCAAGTGAGTGCGCACATAACACACCAAGGAAGGAATTTTTTACTATAACTACTGAAAGGAGATAGTGTGTCAAGCAGCTGTAAAAGGTTAATTGTTTTGGATACTCACTGAGTCCATCCTATCTGTATTTGTAAACCATGAATGCCAGGTCTATGGTGATATGTTAATAATGAAAAGTAAATTTCTTTTTATCTTATGTGTGCTGCTGAATTCTTGGCTTGGTGTGTGTGCAAACTCAAGGGTGCTCCATCGGCACTTTGCCATGGAACCCACCCAGGCCAGAGTAGACAGGGACAGTGGTTCAAAACCCACAAGTAGTGTTTCACTGGTGTGACTGAAACAAGGTGTTAGTCAGAGGCTCTAAATTTCCTAATCTAGGTTTAGGGGCTCACGATACATTCAAAAGCTTTGAAAATCAGTTCCTTTGACCCAAATAACCTTGGAATCCATCCTTGGGAGAACTTTGGACACATTGGACTCTCAGTGGACTTTCTGGGCACACTTCAAAAAAAAAACCTATTCAGGAGYAGTGGTAATTTTATTGAAGGACTTAATTGTTCAGGAAAAATGAAACACTTGAATAAGGCACTCGCRAATGACTTTTTTTGATATTCAGAAGGTGAAAAAATCAATGTAATTATCCAGYTCAGTGAATATTGGCAGAAAATGTGCTTAGATTTGCTGCAAACTTGCACCAAGAACGGGTGTCAAGGCTGTTCTGCAGCCTGTGTGAGAGAAGAGTGGGTGCTGTGGATGAACTGTCCTGTGTATCCATGGTGCAGGGCCACAGCTTGTTCCCTGTTTAGTAAAAACATTAACTGGGCTCTAGGCTTGTACCAAGGAGCATTTTTTTGGGCCTGATGACAATTWTTGCATCTTATATTGCAGATTATTGCAGCTGGAATGGGTCAAACCATTCATTAATACTGATGATTCTACTCCTGCGTGTTTTGATAGATCTTCAGGAATAGTTACTTTCCTTATGCTTTTTAATATATCCAAACACTTATATATATTCCAGTTATTTTTACTTAAGCTGTATTTTTTTATCAGTTACGTTAACACAGATTGGTTTTGTACATGTTTTTAATAATCCACTCCAAATACAAACTYGATCCTCAAATGCTTCTTTTCAAAGAGTACTGATGCAAGAGACAAAATATGATGATGGAGAACTTGGGCCAAATTATGTATAGAATGTAGAGGGGAGAAAAGTCATACTGTTTTCTTTTGTTTGCTGAACTTTTGCTCAGGTTATTTTACTATGAGTTAACTAAAGGTAAGTCAAATGAAAGACTTAAAAATGTGCATTTGCATTTCTTTGGCTAAGAGTGCAAAGGTAAAACCTGCATCATTAGAGAGAGACTTAAATGCATGTTAAATTCTTGGGTGTYCATTTTTATTACAATGTCTCGTGTGTTTGGAGTTTTGTGTGTACATTCCTATCTGGGATTTGGAATTATCTACAGCAAGCTRTATAGAAATGAGATGAATAACACACACTGTGCATTGTGTTGACTTGTTTAAAATATTTTTGTGGCTTAAAAATGTCATCACCTTTAARCATGAGAATTCAATAATAGTTTTGCATTGATTCTTTATTAATACAGGTTTAAATGTCAAAGGGAGTAAGACAAGTTAAAATATACCTTAAGCTACTGGGATTTCTGTTCCATATTTGTTTGTGCCAGTGGAAACTGCAGTTTAGAGCAAGACTCAAGACTGAAAGATCCTTCAGATTAGCATCTCATTGCACTTAAAGCATTCAYGGCAATTTTTCGTTTTCAGTCTGTTTTTTACTTTCTGTTCCTATTTAAAGCTAACACTTTTTCATGTTCTCTTGGTTCACAGTTTATAGAAAGGAAGTGCTCAGCCTGAGTCATTTGAGTAAAAATTTCAGCTGTTATGGACAAATTATGGTTGTGCTCAAACCCAAAATTATGTGTATGGAAAGTGCAGTTCTTTGTTGCTGTGAACTCAAGTCACAGCAAATGGCATTTCAGATCTGTGTCAAAATCTGTATCAAGATTTCAGTTCTGTATCTGTTTCAAAATGGAGGGTTGTTTAGCAGAGTTGTTTTCATGTCTTGCTCATGTCCAAGAAGTAGTAAGGTGCTTGTGGTCAGAAGGGAAAGGAGATGGTGAGTGCCAAGGACATCTTGGGGGCTGAYAAGTGGAGGAGAGGTGGGGGCACCTGCACCCATCTCATGAGCTGTGGGAAACACCGTGGAATGAAAAGCAAGGTAGAGGGTGGGTTTTGAGTTAATACTACCAATGRTTCTTCTTGTAGGGATAAGAAAGAAATTTCCTAGGGAAGTAAGTCATGGTTTATGTTCCAGGAAGACACTGTGCTTGTTCTSTGTTTTAATCTGGTTGTTTGATTTTCAGGAAACACTTTCAGCACCTTGGCAGGGTTGGTGTTTGACTGGACAGTAGTRAAGGACCCAGAGGCCGATGGCTTCTCAGACTCCCACAATGCACTACGGTAAAGTCATTTCATTGGGTCTTWAAAGTTTCATGTCTGTTCAGTTGGATGGGTCAAAATATTTCCCCACATCTAGGCAGTTTACTGAACTGATGCCTGAAATAATAATGCTTAAGGGTCAGTTGTTTCAGACTGGCTTTTTTTAAGTGTCTACCTACTCAACAGCCTGGGCACTTCCATCTCTGTTTAACTGATAGGGTTAATGAACAGCTCTGGTAGGTAGCTCTAATGCAATAATTAGGAATAAATAGATGCAGTTATTGATCTTGCTGAAACTCATGCAAAAGGAAGATTTATCAGTAAGAYTGGTATCTCATGATTTCAACAGTTKTGTTTTCAGTGTTTTTTTGTRARGAGTAAAAGTCCCCTTCCATTTCAGAAAGGAGCTCTCGGAACCTGAAGAATTTCAGGTGTCAGTGGACACTTAGGTCTGGTGTTGAAATAGTTTTGAAAGTAGCTAAACTTTAAATTGGCATGTGTGTCCTGCATGTGAGCCAGATACAGCTCGTAGGGCCAGGTGAATTAATTGAATTAAAGATATTCAATATATTGTCTTTCAGACACAGCAGTGAGTGGAAGACACTTGCTTAAAACATAAGTCCTGGATTCATCATCTGTATTGRCTCACAGACTTTAGTTAACTGGAGTTTAGAATTGCTGTGTTTTGTGGAAAATTCTATCCGAAGATCTTGGAATTGCTTTTCAGCTCACTCATGTGATCATGTTTTTCAGCATTTCTGAATAATAAGGAAATATTTCCACCATTTATAAGGAAATATTTCCATTTAATTGAGGTGGGGTTCATGCCCAAAAGTCAGAAAGCTCACCTGTGGCAGGGATAAAATGCAGACTTTCATGATGTTAGGTTTTTTTTTAAGTTCATTTTCCTTCCTGTATTTGACACCAGACCATCTTTGGCCTGTGTTTTGATGATGGTGCTTTTACAGGTATTASTTTATTATACATATGCCCTGTGTAGTTTTACAGTGGTGACTTCATTGTTCTGTTCCCCAGTGGCTTCAGGCAGAAATGTGTGTTTCCACCCCTACCAAGGTAACCAGAATTGAAGGCTGCTTAGCARTGCCTTACTGGGATRTTKCTCWGTTTGGTTTCCAAGAGTTCCATCTKTGCACTGTCAACCATTTGGTGTCAGCACACCTGGATTCTGCTATTTAGCAGCAATATGTTAGTATTTATTGTATTTTATGTTGTGGTGAATCTTGACTTTGCTCAACATGAATGTTGGTAGAAAAAAATGTGTCCCTGATATAAATGATTTTGACCAGTCTGCAAACACAGAAAACATGGGTTTTTGGTYGCAAAACAGTTTACAGACACTTGTTAAGTAAGTACACTTCAGCCAAAAATTCTTGTACAAGAAACAGATTCAAACTCATGTAGCAGAGGTTTCAGTTCATACACTGAACAGATTCTGTAGGTAAGTTGAGAGGTGTAAAATAATCTGGGAAATGGTACTTACCTGTAAAGGACCTGGCTTTGTTCATATGATAATTCCCTGTGGGGAAACCAGTTCTTTTACAGAGCAGAAAGATTAACAACCAACTTCCATCCTCAAACCTAGATTCCAAATACACTGCAAGTAAATGGGGGGACCAAAGAAGACTTTGCTACGGGATAAACACAAATTCTGATTTTGYAGCCTTAGAGAAACAAGCCCCCAGCATTAGGTGGGGAAAGCCTGTTAAGTCCATAATACACCTGAASCTGCAGATACGAGTGAGAGCCAAAATGAATGGCTTAATGGGACTGGATAGCCAATTCCTAATCCATATGGAGSTTTTTCTTCCAGTATAAGTATTTGCTGATGTGATTTTAACCAAACTAATATTAATGTATGCTCTACTGTTAGCACAACTATAATAACATAAAAATGTTCTAATGGTGGTGCAGCTTTGCAAAATAAATTACAAATTGTCATAAATATGTTAATATGCATAGCTGTTCTCCACATGGCTTTACTAATAGTGTGCTGAGAATGCACATAAAGCCGAGCAGATGATGKGCATACCAGAAGGTGACACCCTGTAAAACACATGCTCCTCTCTGCATTTCCTGTCATTTACCCGTTCATGGCCAATTCCTTGCCTCTCTGTTGTCACTTTTCATTGAAATTTCTAACAGTTACTGCRAGTGTTGTGYTTGTAGGTTACTTTCATAGTCATTSATTAAATGCATCCTGGCTTCTTGAGAGTGGTCAAAGGTATGTTCCCAGTTTGTTAAGTTGTTGCTTTTRTAAACATAAGCTTTGGGTCTTGCACATCAGTTGTTCTACAATATAGAGAGTTTTTGCAGTCTCATCTACTGTACAAATTGGAGGGGTCATTGTAGACAACATGTGCAGTCTTCTGATAGCTCACAAGGAGGCTTCAAACAAACTTTTATCTGTCACAGAAATTAGCTGCAGATACCTCGAAGAATGAATAAAATTTGGATATCTGGTCCCAGGCAAACAACTTAAATTGGCTTAAAAATTGAAATGGGTGGGAATAGATGCTGRTGGTTTTTCTCAGTGGGTTTGCAAAGGTTAGGTAACAATTTTCTATGCACTTCTTGGTTCACCTTTCAGTATACTCAAGTTCTTAGAATCCACTTACATCCCACCTTCCTATATATTGGAGATGGAGAAAGTTGCCAAGCAAGGAGATACCATTCTGGTGTCTGGAATGAAAACAGGGAGTTCTAAATTAAAAGCAAGACTACAGGAAAGCATCTATAAGGTAAGAAACTTGCATTCATCCTGATGTTTTTACTATTTAATCTTACAGCCTTGTGTTGCAGGAGTTCTGTGTGTTTGCCTTGTGGATGTCAGTGCTGCATCTCTGTCATACTGGGTTGACTGTAGCCCACATCACAAGAGATGRTGCCCTGGGAGGGCTGGAGTTTGGTGCAGTGACTCAGGCCAGGCCAGGGCATGTGCCAGAGATCATTTCTAAGTCTCTGACAGAAGGTCCTGTGGCAGAGGAGTGCACTCCCAGTGCTTTGTGCAATTTAAGTTTTCCTGTTATTCATACTGTGCATACAACTAGAACCATTGCATTGGCCCTTCAGATCTTTTAAAACAGAACCAACTCGAACAGTTCTTTTTTTCAGTAAATATCTAGAACAAGGTTTGCTCTGTTGGAAATATTTTTATTTCCTGTTGTACTTGAAATGAGTGTGCAATGAATACTTTATTAGATTCGGTTCTACCTCATGATGTTCTGGTTTCCAAGGAAAGGCTTTGAGATCAGAATGTCAGAGCTACCGTAGTGTTCAGCTCCAGTGCTGGCTGTGGAGATCTGGGATTTATGTCTTGTAGCTTGGGCTCACTGAGATTTACATTTTGCTCTGTGAACAGAGTTGGTTTTTCTCTTAATAGAATTTACAAACACCTGTGAGAGTTTTTATTTATCATAGTCCTGGTATCAGCTTTATACTGCACCTTCAAAAACTCCCTCTACAAAATGGGATTTTTCTGAAGTTCATCTTGTCTCTGCGGTCTGGTTTTGCTGATTTGTGTTACTGTTTTGTATTTCATGTTTCTGCATAAAGCAGAATGGCATTGGGCTATCTGAACCCTAGCTGTGAAAAGTGTTCTACTGAAATATCAGCTGCATGTGTGTAACACTAGTAAGGTGGCACAAGTGGTAGAGCATGTTAAGAAAGTATTTTTATCATCAAATTTAATTTAGTTCTTCTTAATTGTACTGAATACATAGACATACTCTACATTTTATCAGACTTGACTTTCTTTGAATGCTTGTAGCTTGGTGAGTTTTCTGGTTTAATATTTATTTCTCAATTAGTTTTGAGTGGGTACTGTGAGAGAAATTGAAATAATATTGTTCTGTTTGCAGTTTTTTCTGGTTAGTAGTTCTTTCCAATCTTTCACTGCTACCAGACTGCACATTTTCAATGAACATCCCTCAAACAACTGTAAGAGAATTTATGTAATTACCTGTTGTATTCCTGATTTAACAGACCAGTGAGTTGGATGCAGATTCTTCAGTGAAGTTATAATAGAGATGGTGTTTGGAGTGCCATGTTTTACAGTGGGTGGGGAAGATGGATTTCTGAGTGTCTGAATGATCACTGAGCATCTGTCTCAAGTTTYTCCATATTCTCCAACATCATCTTCATACAGACATGATTTGTTTATTCTKTCTTGCAAGTCTCTGTACCATTCACTGTCTCTTGCATTGCCTTGTTGTGACAAAATTTGAGGTGAAAATAAAGAGCTAATTGCAGCAAGTAATGTTTTTCACTTCTACATTCTAAGTTCCTGCTGCATGGTCTGTTTCAAACAAATGAGCTGCTTTTAATGTGGTTTCTTTCTCTTTTTTTTTTTTTTTTTTTTTCCCTTCATCAACAGGATGTACAGCCTGCAGAAGTCAGATTGCTTATTTTGGAAAACATCCTTTTGAATCCAGTATATGACATTTATCTTCTAGTAGGAACATCAATTCATTACAGAGTTCAGAAATTGAGGCAAGGGAAGATCACAGGTTTGTTCTGTTCTCTCTCATTTTTATTTTTTAATGCTTTGTRTGAATTTTTAACTGCTGAGAAATTTTTAATTGTGTTTAAGCTACTTTGTTAATATTTAATATTGTTTTCCTAAGGCATACAATGATACAGCTGTTGAGTTCTTTCAGTCAAAAAATTGTGACTGTTAAGAATATACTCTTGCAGATTTCTCAAGGWTGTAAAGACAAGGGTAACTAAAAATAGGAGCTACACTGTCATTTTAGATGTTCACTGTCACTAAGGAGCTGACTTTCTTACTTAAATTTAGATAAGTAACCTTTCTAACAGAAAATGTTTTATTGGCAAATGGATTTGCTCCACAAAGTGAAGCCTTTATGAATGTGGGTTAGCTGGCTTTATGTCCATGTAGAAGGGCAGTGCCTTGAGTTTTCTGTCCTCCTTTTCTTTTTTCCCTTTTGTATTTTCTTTTGAAGCTGGAAATCAGTTGGATGTTAGGTCTAAATAGTGAGGTGATATTAGTTGGAAACTGCAGTTTCACAGACATTAGAGTTTGCCAAGAAGCTCATTTTGTGTGTGTGACAGAAGTGCTATTTTTACGAGACATTAAAAATACTGATTTATTGTACAATATGTGCACTAGCATGAATAAAAAATAATCAGCAATAATCAACAGCAGCCAAACACTGCCACATCTGCTTTTATTGTTTCATACATTGTTTTACCTGCAGAAATAGCCATGCCATCAGATCAGTATGAGCTGCAGCTCCAGAACAACATCCTTGATCCCAAGGGAGATTCTTCCCGGCCAGTTGCCAAGCTGGACCAGGAAACATCCGTTGTGACTGCATTGCAGCTGGGGCAAACCAACCTCGTCCTGATGCACAAGAGTATCCTTCCTAAGGAATTCTGTTCCATCCACRACGTGCTGGCAGGAGGCAAACTTTCTACCCTTCACAACACAAAAAGATAAAGCTATCCTTATTTGTACCAGGAGTTTGGAAATCAGGAGCAGTGSTAGAGCCATGGAAAGCATGTGAATTCAGTCTCAGCAGAGCTGGGTGATGCCGTGGAAGGTTTTAACAAATTAGGTTTGCAAAAGATCACTCAAATCATGTCTGTTCCCCTCAGTCACTGTAGAAATGTGATGGGGCTTTATTTAATTTTTATGTTTCAATCCYTATGTTCTCTAGCGAAATCCCTCCAAAGTACTCACTGTCTTGCAGTGAAGTGGAGATAATGTTTATTTGCAGTGTACCACTAGCTTTAAAACAGCCAAAGAGACACAAGGAGTCCTAGGAAAATGCTGATCTTCACTTGTATTAAACTTTCCTGTTCCTTTACTGAGACCWTAGATATCCGCATGCAGGGGGTGTCCAGGCTACCCAACAGCACTGTCTATGTGGTACCTCCTGCATATTTGGGTTGGTATTGCTGCAGTCTTCCTGATTGCTTAATGCAATTTTTTGCCTTGTTTCTGTGATTTTCGAGTTGTATAACCACGTTTCCGTTTCTTGTGTTAGTTTTCACAGAAAAGTAATATTATTCATGAAAGTAGCTCAATGTGAAATAGGTTTTATTTATTTTCTTTTACTCTGTAATAATGAAATGTTCATCTGCAGAGTGTGGGCACCAGAAGCAAAATGCTTTTCTCCATTAGATAAAGAGGCTCTTGGTTTGTGTTGTTCAAAATTTCCTGTTTTGCAGGATTTACAGTTCGTCCAGGTGACAGATGGGTCCTGGAAACGGGCAGACTTTATGAAATTATAATTGATGTGTATGATAAATCAAGCAATAAGGTGTATTTATCTGATGTAAGTTGAAATGTTTATATACTTTTCAGTGACTGTCTCCTAAATCCTGACTTGCTTTGAAATTATTCAAATAGTTRCTTATTTACATTGAGACAGGACATTGCAAAGCATTTTGTTTCTTCCCTTCTCCTTTTTTCTGTTTGTTTTATTGTTGTTACTTTTAAAAAGTAAAGCACTCTGGGTGAGTTGTGGGAAATTATTGGAGTCTTAAGCGCTGTAGAAAAAAAATGGAAGAAGTTGGACAATGACCTTCAGGTTGGATTGGGCTTGGAGCAACCTTAAGTCATCCACTCCCACTTCTTCCATGGGCAGGGACACCTCCCACTGTCCCAGGCTGCTCCAAACCCCAATGTCCAGCCTGGCCTTGGGCACTGCCAGGGATCCAGGGGCAGCCACAGCTTCTCTGGAAAACTGTGCCAGGGCCTCACCACCTCATGGGGAAGAGCTTCTTCCTAGGTTCTGTATAGTAGGTACCAAATGTACATAGTTCTTTGAAAAAACKATAAAGAAAACTAAATGTAAATAGTTCTTTTGCAGCAAGAAAAAATGTACTAAATTATTTCTGTTCAGAATATTAGAGATATGGGAATGTTAGTTTATTTGCTTATAATTGCCTTTTGGGATACAGATACAAGTTTGAGCTAGAGCTAAGCCGTGTGCTGTTGAGGCAATATATTTACATATTCTTTTGTGTTTAAGAAGGACAAAATTAAGAAATTCGTGTGAAATATGAACTATGTAGTGTTATGAATATTGGTACTTTCATGTTAAATTGCATGTTAGTGATAATTTTAAAAAGAAAACTTTCTGTGGAATTAATGCTGTGTCTGAAGGTAAAGTCTTACTGAATGACTGAAACTTTTCATAGGGAAAATTCTAGTCAGTTTCAACAATATGCATTTGTACTATGTTATTAAAAAATAGTTTGCTCATTGATTTGGTGTTGTATRTTTATGGCTTTTTGTCCAGTATTAGTGCCAGTTACCTGTGACAATTTCTATTTCACATTCTGGTTTTAGAACATCAGAATTGCTRCAGAGCTGTCCAAAGAATACTTTGAGGTGCTGCAGTCATCTCTGAATGGATCCTATCACTATGTGAAGGCARTAAAGGCGGGCCAGACCACAATTGATGCTGCACTGACGTCAGTAGTTGATCAGGTGTGTCTTTGTGAAAACTCTTCTGCTTCACTGGTAGGCCTAAAAATAAYGGAGTTGTGCAGTGGTGACTTTGTAGCAAAAGGAAACCTAAGAATTACATGGGTCTGAGCTGTCTTTGTTTGAAAAGATTAAGAACTAAATTCTGAAATCCTTTCTTCATGGAAACTGTCAATTGAGTCAACAGAGGATTTGCTTAAATAAAGGCAGTGGGATTCTGCTCCCGAGCATGTGGCAAACTCCTGTTAAGGCAGTGGTGCACAGCACTGATTTTTTTTCTCGTGGCAGATCCTTGTGCTTGGCAAGGGGCCTCTCACAGGCTGAGGGAATTTTACACTTTATTGTGGTAGGATCATCACTCTCATACCCTGGCCTTGTTCTGCAGTCAGTTACATTGGGGAAGTTTGCTATCTATTGGTAAGTGACCTTAAATGCTGGAATGACAATCTGCCAAATGTATCAGCCTGCACATCTCTCCAAATTAATATTCATTAACTTTCTGCTGGTTGGGCAGGCTGCTGAATGTGTGGCTAACTAGGACACGTGGTGTGGAAGTGAGGTGCTTTTGCTTGAAACTTCAATACTTCAACCCATTTTCTGTGAAATCATTTTAATGATTCCTTGAGTAGGATTCAGTGTATCCTTGAATGTGATAAGCCRTGGTCATTCTCTGTCAGAGAAATTCTCTTCAGTGGAAAGGGATCCACTGAAAACTGTTTTCCTTCAGAGCTGCAGTAACAGTGTGTTGTGCCATAGGGTTATAGCACTGCAGTGACAGCAGATCTGTAAAGGCCAGTGTTTGGAGGGGTTGAGGAATGGCTGAATTTTGCACTCACCTGCTGCAGAGTAGGATGAACAAAGACTAAATGCAGGTGTTCAGCCTCCAGATAGGTTCTCCACACAAGGTCTCAGAATAGGAGTAGTGAAAGGGTGTATTTCTTCTTTCTGTTTGCCTTTTAAACTAATGTGAGCTCCTGTATCTCCACAGCAATAGCACTCATTTAATACAGTAGCACACTGTGCTTCCAGGAGCTGTCTGCTYGCAAGTAACTCTGTTCCTAAGTGATCCTGAAGAGTTTTCCTTCCTCTCTGAGATGTTCTCAACAACTTGTCTCTACACAAGGACTAAAAATGAACTCAGGAAGCACTATGGTGCCATTTGTAACACTATGCTCTTGAATTTTGCAGGATGGAGGTGTTCATACCTTGTCAGTTCCAGTGCGAAACCAGCAGGATGTGGAAATCTATGTTCCTATCGTTCTTTCACCTGGCATTCTGATGTTTCCTTGGCAGCCAAAAGCAGGAGTGTACCAGTACCCCATCCAGGTATGCCCAASAAGTACCCAACTGCATGGAGTACTGCTCAGGCAGGCACAGTGAGGCCTGAAACCACTGAGTTAGGGTTGGCTTTGCATCCTTCAGACACAGTGGCATCCAAAATGTAATTTGGAGGATGTTAGTTACAGGAATGAATATGTAGTTTARAAATGCACCCAGGACTTTCTTTCTGCACTCTCTCATGCATGCACCGTGCACCTATGGCTGGAGTGGTTTGGAATTCTGGGAAGCATCCTATATGCAAAGCTTCACAGCAATCATTAGAGGCTACCCTTTGCTGCAGGGATTGGGAGTGTGAGGTGACTGCAAAAAGGYCATGACAAGATTAATTAGCACCACTCTGCCAGCCTTGGACATCAGTATTCTTCACGGGCCACACACCTCCTGTTCCTAATACAAAGCTCCAGGGAGGCAAAGGCCACCGCTGATTTACAGGAGCGTTTTCCATACGTTTCCTAGGTGTGGCAGCCCCCAAGATGTCAGTTATTCCATATGCTTCATGAAACAAATGGTTTGTCTTCCAGTATCCAGTGTCTCCAGTCTAACTAAGGAAAAGAAAGTTGTGCTTTCCTAGCCCAGACTCTTACCCCAGGCCAATGATACCCAGACTTTGCACTCAGGTGTTGGRTACAGAGCTCCTGCCTCTCCCTTTTAGCATAATGCAGTCCTCAGTTTTGGATCTGTCTCAAGTAGATCATATCCAAAGAGGCAGCAGGACACTTGGTGTCAGCCTCCTCTCCCAGGTGGCAAGGAACAGGACGAGAGGTAATGGCCTCACATTTAGTTTAGGTAGTAGAAAAGATTTCTTCACAGAAAGGGTTGTCAAGCTGCAACAGGCTGTCCAAGGCCGTGGTGGACTCATCATCCCTGGAAGTGCTGAAGAGACATGGGGTGTGACACTTGAGAATGTGGTTTAGTGGTGGACTTGTTGAGACTCAGAGGTCTTTTCCAGCCTTACTGATTCAGTGATTCCAGGAGGAGAATCAATCCCATAGGGATTAAGCTGCATTTTGCAGTGTTAATCTAAGGGTAACTGCAGTGAGTTACGCACTGCATCTCTACTTGTCTGTTCTGTGGGACTAGTTTGGTTTACTTCATGTTATTTCTGACCACACCAGCAGAGTGTGGTAAAAATTCTTAGTATCAGTCTGCATTTTCAGTACTTCATCATCATTTTGCAGGAGTTTTCCCAGTAAGGCAAAGTAAATGTGGTTTTGTTTMCTACTTCTTTCACAATTCTATTCTTCCCTCATCTTATCTTGCATATGTAATAAAGTATCTCATTGGAGAACATTCCTCATGATACTTCAATAATGGTGTCAGTATTTTTACTTTACTGTGGTTTTTTTTCCATAAAAACATAGAAACCTGTTTCTCCCAACATTTAAATTTTGCTGAAACCAAGACCTTTCTTCCAGTCTCTCCATTCCACACTACCACTGGTTGTTGTCAACAGCACACACACAGCTCAGCTGTTGTTCCTGCCTATACATCAGTGTTTGCCTCCCACTTCGTAGCTTCAGTCAGGCTATTTCAAATGGGTGAATAGACTTTTTCTGAAAATAAGTTGAAAGGGATTTTTGGATCTAGCCAAATTCTGTTTATMGCTAAAGTTACTCTCTCCAGATGGTATCAGAATGCCTGGTTTTACTTTGTCAGCTGTCTGGTCTGTTGGGGGTTGCTTTGTTCATATTGGTGCTAATGAGATGGTTTCTGTTGCCTTCCTTTAGTCCATGCCCGGGATGGGTGCAGTTCCAGCTGTGTGAAGTTGAGCACATGGAGGTTTTTGTTTTCTGGAGAGGGCATCACTATCACAGGTAGCAGAGTGTGGAGCTCCCCTGACAGGCTGTGGGTAATGATCAGCCTGCAGGGGAAGTTGGTTCACCCTCTCTCTCCTCAGTGCAGCCTGACTGCTAGAGAGAAAATGTTRTGAGGGTCTGGGGTTTATGACAAGGAGATATGACTTCATACARTTATTAAGAATTGGGTGTTTCTGTTTCATGTTTCCTGCTCTTCTCCCTGTTTTTACTAAAATACTWTTACAAATATCCTGAACTCTTGCATTCTTTTAGCTTTTCTCACCACATCCCATGCATCTCTTGTCATTCACTGTGATCACTACCTATTATTAGTTTGTCTGTGTCCTTATGTAATCAGTTTGTGCACGTGCTTAAAGAAAGGAAGAAGGGAAATGACCCTCTTTATTTTTTTATTCTTTTTGCCTGATAAAAATTACTAGCTAAGTTCCTGTATAATTTGGATTTGTTTGTTTTCCACACTACCCTTCTAGACAAGATTTATCACTTTGTTACTTTTTAATTATGAAACAGGTTAAAGGAAATCTGGGGAAGTTAAATTAAAACAATATATAAAAAAAATTGCTCCACTTTCACCCTTGTTTTACTCTGATGGAACTTTTAACGTTTATTTTGGACTGTTGAGTCATCTAATTTTTTCACTTACTTAAAAAATTTTCTCGGTAAACCTTTCTGCGCAGTGTTTGTCCCAACAGGCACTTCCTACAGCTCATAGTACTGATGTTTCAAACCTATAGATTTGCATCATTGTGATGACTCTGGTTCTGCAGTAARTGTGTTTGCCCATCATGGAGGACAGTGCTGTGCTGGCAAATGTTCATGGCCCTTCACTTTGTACAGTAGGAGCCTGCAGGAGATGCTGTCCTAGTCTGGGGCAGTGCTTGTACAGTGGGTGTGCTGATTTGTGTCTGATGGGGGCCATAATAGCAAGTAACCGGTTCTCACCCCTCTGGAGAAAAATCCCACTGTTAAGGCATGACATGATTATGAGAGCTTGACTGATCTGTTGCTTGAGCAGCAAGTTCCTTGGGTGGCTGCAGGTAGACCTGCTGATTTTCAGTGTAAAAATAAAGAAATAATGCSAAGAAGAAAGGGACTTTCGCCCCTCCACCCACTTTTCTTTTTCCCCCCTTCCCTCTTTCCCTCCCTGCATCCTGCCTCCTTTTCTCTCCCCTTTAAAATCCCTTAACAATTCCTATTGGAAGAAGCTGGTAGGTGCAGAGTGCCAGCTCTGAGAGCCCAGAGCAGCACTCTGGCTRTGAGCAGCATAGAATCAGTGGGAGTTTCAGGAATATGAAACTCCCCATGCCAAGCCTTCTGTGTGCTGGTCTGGGGRGTTCTRTGCTGATTGTGAGCACAGGCAGTCMCTGGCAGCTGCCAGTCTCCCAGCAGGCTCCTGTAGCTTGGGGAGAGATTGGGCTTGGCAGCACTGGTGAGCACAGAGGAGATGTATGTGAAGGAAGCTGAAATTAAAATGAATGAAGGGTAGTAATCTTCTCATATCTCTCTTATTTCACCTTGCTTATTTGAAAGTTCTGGGGTGTTATTTTATTCGTATTTTCCTATTCTCAGTGCATGCCTGGTTTTCATTCAAGATATTGAAAGGAATAATCTGAAGGCAAGATACCTGAAGCTAAGAAATGTGAGAACCATGTACTTGATTAAATGTTTGAGAGATTTGCCTTCTGTATTCCAGGCTCAGGGTGGAAGTGGCAACTTCAGCTGGTCATCTTCTAACCAGGCAGTAGCTACAGTGACAGTGAAAGGAGTGATGTCAACTGGAAGTGAGACTGGGGTCAGTCTTATTCAGGCAACTGATGTTCGGAATCCTTTGCATTATGGAGAAATGAAGGTAAGAGTTTTATTTTTCARTAATTGTTCTTGAATATGGCTTTTGGAAACAGTGAAGGAGCTGAGAATACCATGGGCATTCCCCTTCTAAAACATTCCCAGGAGGTTTCCCTACCTGCCCTGTAGTATCTTAAGTGATTAGTTTCAGTTCGTGCTTTAGGGAATTAAACTCTGTGCAGTGCATTAACTTTACCCCTTCCTGATCTCCTTGGCAAGTCTTCTTCCTTGTTGGAAGTTTCAAGTGCAAGAAGGAAATGGTAATTGATTCCTGGCCTGACCATCTAAGCAGACAAGCCAAACTACAAATTCATTCTGCAGCATGAGAGGTGGGTGTTCTCCCTTGATGTGAAAGGGTGACAGTTGTACAAAGATGTGCAGGGAAATTTCTGTCTGGAGAAGTAATTGAAGTGAGTGCAGTGCTGCAGAATGACTCCAGATACCTAAACTGGCCAAGAAAAAATGATGGTTTAGGAAGCTTGGGGGAAAGTGGCAATGAAAAACATCACGCCCAGGAGGGATTTTGTGGTCTCCCTGCAGACCATCCCCTGTTCTTMGGTCATGGTGATCAGTGTGGGGTGTGGAGTGAGGAAAATCCAGGAACTATTCATGTAATGGTGCCACAGGGAGGGGTGTGCAGAGGAAGGTGAAGAAGCTGCTCTGGTAAACACTGACAATCCACTTCCTAATATTTTTCTCCGGCATATTACTGATCTGGAGATTTCTTCTGTCGTTTGGACACAAATTACTTTAATGAAACTGTCAGTGCTGACTCTCTGTGTCAGGCTATTAAGTACACTTGGACTTGTACTGTGGTAGAATAGAATCTATAAGGARATACTGCTGTGGGGTGTTCATTTGCTACTGTGAAGTGGCACCACTCTGCTGCCTTTGCAAATGGAGGCATTTTAATTTCTGTTTGAACTCTGTGCCCTTTGCAAAGAGCTWCACATTGGACTGGAAACCTGATGGAGCAGAGGAAACCTGCTGCTGCCCTCAGAGAAACTGAGTGTGCTGAGCACATGTGAGTGCTGGGCTCCAGAGGCTGTGTTTGTGTGTTTGCATGGCCATAAACAAAATGGGTTTGTTATTGAAGGTGGCAAATAACATCCAGCTGCCCAATGCTTCCCAGAGGTGGTGGAGAGTGTGGAAGTGGGTTTAGGAAGCAAAGAGGCAGTGCACTTTCCTTGGCCATTCAGCAGCTGCTGGGGAGCAGGCTGGGTCCATCACACATGTACACACATGTACACACATGTACACACATGTACACACATGTTACATCAGCCATACAGAGCAGCTCCAGCTGGGAAACATTCCCATGTGCAGCACTCCTGGGGTTGTACTGCACTCCTTTTGGGATTGTACTACATTCCTCTTGAACCAAAGTCCCTTTGGACAGAGGTGTTAAAGACCTGTTTGGCCAAAACTGCCAAATCTGTCCCGAGATGGAGCTGTGGAAACAGAGATTTTTTGTATTTTATTTTTCTTCCTTTCTTTTTTTTCAGTGTTTTTAGTCTGTGTGTTTTGGGAAATATTTCTGGCCGAATTTCACTTGTAACAGCTGCATCTACTAATGCTGGGTTTTGAGGGACATGGGTTTTGCTCAGATTATTTATATCAGTTTTACAAAATGAATTTTAGAGGTACTAAACTTTATGCTTAAAATAACTACTGAAATTCTTAAAATAGTGACATAAATTAAAATCTGTTCAGAATTTAGCTTATACACTTGGTCTGAAATAATTCTGTGAACAACCCAGGATTCTACTTTTTAGCAGTGCAGCAGTTACTAGCAGGAGACACAGGAATGAAGATTTTTTTCAGCTAAAACTTCTTATCCTTTGACATAATCCTGAAGACAGAATGAAACCTTCTGTCCATGTGAACTTTCAGAGCAGTGTATTGCACAATTTGAATCGATTATTTTTGAATGCCTTTGTTCTTGTATTATGAACTGCTTTTCTTTATGGAATAGCTCTTCAAAGTTCTATTTACTGGCCTCAGTGAACAAGTTTTCAGTAGTTTTAGGGGTAGTTAATCCACAGAGATTACAGTTTTAACTCTGTACCATATGGCTTGGTATCCTGAAGCCAGTTGCAGAAGATTAAGTAATTAAGATATTGCAAATGAAGGCTTTGATTATAGTGATTGTTATGAAGTCTGTGGTGAATTCTTTAATGGAAAAAAAAAAGTCAGAATAAGAAACAATTAAGTTAGGGCTTGTATAGCAACATGCCAGCTATAGAATCRCAGAAGGGTTTGGGTTGGARAGAATCTTWAAAGTTCATCTKGTCCCTTACCATGGGCAGGGACACCTTCCACCRTCCCAGGGTGCTCCAAGCCCCATCCAGCCTGGCCTTGGGCACTGCCAGGGATCCAGRGGCAGCCACAGCTTCTCTGGGCACCCTGTGCCAGGGCCTCCCCACCCTCTGTAATAGCATGGAAGATTTGTTTCTGCCAGGCTTGTTTGTGCAAGTAATCACATAAAGATTACTTGKTGAAGCAGAAGGTTGTTAGATTAGGCAGTAGATGTTTATTAAGTTTTTAGATTTTACAAATTACTGTGTTAAGCCCTGGCCACCTATAAAAAGTTTTGCCAACAGAAATGCAAGGAAGAAGGTAAAAAATCCATTGAGGAAATATTTGGGTCGTTAGTTCCTTTAATTTATACCTCCCTGCTGCTGTGAGTAATGGAGGCTGGGGTGCCTTGCTAACCTTGCTGACTGTGTTAGGTCTAGCTCAGATATTTGCCCTGTGAAAGTCAAGGTAGGGTGCTAAATCTGTCCCAGCTAGTGATGGTACCCTCCTGGAGATACCACTCAGCTTAGTCCATGCATTGAGGTCTACGAAGCAGAAAAGAGAATTGCAGGAGTAGCAGTGAAAGGAAGGCTCACCAAGCTGCTGTGAGCTTGGGCTGGCCTGGGAAAAGAGCACTGAAATACATCTGTCCTTGTTCCTTCCCTCCTCCAGGTGTACGTGAGTGAACCCAGYGGGATGGAGTTCACACTGTGCCAAGTGGAAACACACGTTGGGCATATCCTGGAGCTGCCCCTGAGGATCAGTGGCCTCACGAGCGTGGAGAGGGGCGAGCTGGTCCAGCTGAGTGACTGCTCACACCTGGAACTCGCTGTGGAAGTGGAGAACCCGGGCGTGTTCAGCCCACTGGAAGGTCCTCTGACCCCCCTCCCTGCTTTGGAACTTGTATTAAGATGTTGCCAAGTCACACCTCCCCCTTCAGTCACTGTTTCATTCCTCTGTACAGAATCCCCACAGAAGTGCCTAACTTCAGAGGGGAGGGGATCAGAGTAGTTTTATTGTGAGAATGTATTTACATTTTAAATACAGAACTTTCTTTTGATATTTTTGATGTTTTGGGTTACTCTAAAAGCAYTTGGCAGTAATTTTATTGGATCATGTGTAGTCTCCCTTCTATCTTTTTACTGATTCAGTATTTTTGACCAGCTTTTGTAACAAAGCTGATGGGTTTTCTCATGAGAGGGGTCCACATGTGTTGTGCTTTGAGGTAGCATTAGAAGACTCACAAAAACATTGATTAATAACTGCTTTGCTCAAAGTGCCCATCAGTACTTTCAGTTCTGTAATCACACTGCTCATGGTTTGCTTACAAATGATGAAAACAATGAGCTGCTTGTCTTTGCTGAAGCTCTGTTGTTGTCAAGCTCATTTCCTAAGAAATGCCTTTTGTCAGGTATTATTTTTAAAGATTATTTTTAAAGATTGACATTAATGTTGTTGGGCCAGYTGCACACTGAGCGTTGTGCCTGTTCTTGTGACGACTGGATTCAGGATGTTGTTCAGGTTGACCATTAATTTTTGCCAAGTGACTTGTATGGAAGCTCTTTCCTGTGCTACTGAGCCAGCAAACCCAATGTGCAGAGTAGCATCTCTCTGCCTGAGAGGCAGCTGGTTCAGATGTCACTGTATCCTGTGCTGCTGTAGTGTTTGTTTCAACAAAACTAAAAATAGACCTTTCTCAAGCTTAGTGTCCTCCAAGTAGGCAGAGAGTTTTCATGAAAATTCCTTACCTTGAGCTAGAKAAATGATGTATTGCTTGCAGTTCAGGAGGTTCTGTTCTGGAGCTTTGTCTAAGCAGTGTGACTCGTTCTGTGCTGAGTTATGAGCCAGTTTCATGTTGAAAGAGTATGAGAATGTTCAGTAAGAGAGAGGAGCTGTATTAGTTTCTGCCATAAGTAAAGACTTGTGTCCTGACTAGGACTGAAACTGAAGACTTTAAAAGACCCAGACATTTGGGTAAGTGTTGGGTTTGATATGAAAGACAGTAGTGAACGTTTTTACCCATTTCATTGGAGGGCACATTGTATTTATTTCTGGTGGAACTGTTTTTGTTGAGAAAAATCATTGTAGAACCRTCAGTYACAGGACCCCAGARCRGTTTGMRTTGGAAGGACCTTAAAACCCATCCAGTTCCAMCCCCTACCATGGTCAGGGTCACCTTCCACTATCCCAGGGTGCTTCAAGCCCTGTCCARCCTGGCCTTGGRCACTCCCAGGGATGGGGCAGCCACAGCTTCTCTGAGCACACTGTGCCAGGTCCTCCCCACCCTCACAGCCAAGAATTCTTTCCCAATATCCCATCTAAACCTTCTGTCTTTCAGTTTGAAGCCATTCCRCCTTGTCCTGTCCCTTGTAAAAAATTCTCYCYRTCTTTCTTGTAGGCTCCCTTCAAATGGCTGTGTTAAATGTGATGAACATTCCTCAACATTTCTCTCCAGATAAGTTGTGTATTTTTAATTTATTGACAGGAAGACTTGAGCCAACAGCTGATTTCTGTAGTGGTGTCATAGTGAAGGCTGAAGCTCAGGGATACACCAGACTGGTTGTTGTGTACACCCATGGGCACGTGCGCCTCAGTGCCAGCATCACCATCGCTGCTTATCTGCCACTGAAAGTGAGTGTTTCCTCTGCTCCTGGAGCAATCCACCACTTACACACCTCTGCATGACAGACAGCAGGTTATGTGAGGAATGGGTTTGAAAACTCAAGTAGGTGGGTTTGTATTTCATTGCTGGCCGGTTCAGTGAGGAGAATAAATAAGAAAGAAGCTGAGTACAGAGTCAGYAGATAGAAATACAGAAGAGGCTGCTGTATTACCTCATCTGCAGAGGCCTGGCACTGACTCTGCACAGCCGAAGTCTGAGTGTTCAACCATAGCTTTTCACCCAAATCTGGAAACAGTGTTAGCACAAATCCTACAAATATGTGRCTATAATGATTTTACATTTTAAATACACATTTCTTTTAGATCTCTTCAAATAATTATGCTCAGTTATTTAGAATGCTGAGACATCTTAAGTGCAGTGTGTAAACTTACTGGCAGCAGAGTGAGAGAGCAGCATAATCCCCCTTATTAGGAGTTTTTCATGTTCATGGCATCTTTCACATTTAATAGCAAAGCCCCTACAGGTGTTGTAAAGCTGCTTTTCATGGATAAAGTTAAATGATTCTTGGGTACCTAAAAGGCAGATCATGGTGACAGGGAGGGTAGTTGAAAAAAATCTGTGCTGATACCTCAGTGAAGAACTTACCTTTCATTGAACGATTTCTACACTCTTTTCCCTCCCTTCTGAAGAATGAAATATTTATCTTGCCCAGAAAGGGAAAGCATTTTTCTGATGGACATAGCTTGGAAGAAAATGAATTACAGCATTAAAAAGTGGGAGAAAGGTAAACAGTCTGAGGGCTAGCAGAYACTTGGGGCTAAATCTCATAGTTTTCTAATAGGTTTTTAACTTTATATTAGAAATACAACCAGGCAGTAAACGAAAGGAAGACCATTGATGCCAACCTTTGCATTCACTCACTTCCACCAAAACACATGTATAGAAAGAATTGAACCCCATCCTTTATGCTGGCTGCCCTTCTTCCTTACTACACGCCCAAGTAATATCATTTTGTGAAACACAAACTACAATGATTTTTGTGTACTAAATGTCAGGTTAATTGCTGTGGTGATGAACTGCACAGGCTGTCTCAGCGGCATGCATCAGTGCAGAATTTGTTAGAGAGGTTTGAAGTAAAACTTGTGTAGGAGAATAATTACATACATAGAACAGTTCTGGAGAGAGCACTGTCAAGTTGAAGTACAATTTGACATTCTTTCATTCATTTAAAAATACTTCTTTTTTWWWAAAAAAAAAAGTGTAGCAGAATRCTATCTCTCTGTGCTCAAAAGAATATATTGAGGGTCTCCCTTTTGCTGTAATTCTTCATGAAAGAGATGTGATTAGAATGCAGCTAAAACATTTCTTTGGCTCCATGGCTTCCTTTGAATATAATCCAGCTGGACAGAATCCTTGTGGATTTTGGTGCAGTTCTGTTCTTACTAAGTGTKCTGACAACCACTGTGTGGGAGAAATCACAGCCTAATCCAAGGAACCAATGCAGCTGTTCCATTAAGGAGGAAGCTTATTTTGCAAAACAAAACCAAGCTATGTAAACAGAATTATTACTTGGTAATTAATTAATTAATTAATTGACTAATTACAGGCACCRTATGTCGCTTTAGTGACTCTGGGTTCCTCTAAGGATATGTTRTTTGAAGGAGGACCTAAGCCATGGGTCCAAGAACCTTCCAAGTTCTTCAGGAGCATCGCTGCTGAGGATGCAGAAAGCGTTGTCCTGTCCTTACTTGAACCTCCCACACCTCAAAATGACAACCAGCACTGGGTTAGRGCGCTGTGCAGGAGCCTGGGAGAGCAGGTAAGTGCCAGAAGGGATCTCTTGCCCTCCATCAGGCACTGAGAACTGGCTCCAGATGTATTTATGGTGCCATATGCCTGTTATGTAGCAAGATGTTTTTATTATAAGCTGGTAAAGAACTTGGATAAGTACATTGTTTATGCACTGTGATGCAGGTTTTAGAGTGAGCRTTTCACAACATTATGTTAAGACATGGTTTATGATGGGTTTATTGCAGTATAAACCCAAATTGTGGAAACCTTATGTTGTGGGATGCACTGAACATCCTGATCAGTGCAGGTTCAGTTTGCATGAGCAGAATCAGAGCAGAAGGTTACTGCAGCAGGCTGACTCCTCTGTCTGACCCACTCTTCCTAACCACGTTACGTTCCAGAGTAATTCTGTTTATTCTGACAAATGGCAGCCACAGGAATTGACTGCTTTGCTCTTTGTGCAGCCTTGGTGAGCATGGCTGTGCTCATTCTCCACCTGGTTTTGTTTTCTGCAGTATGCCAAAGGGATTTGTCCTGCTTTATTCACCCTCCCCAGACCATGAAGCTTTTAGCTTTGATTTAATGTTTTCCTCCTGCATTTCTGCAAGGCCTGAGCATTTTGGTGGGGCTGCCAAGTTCTACTGGTTGCCTCAGTGGACACTTTGCAAAGTGGAGCTGTTTCTGTTAAGTGCAGCATCAAAAGGAGCAGGCCTTGTTGATGTCCAGGATGTGCATGGCTATGCTGTCGCCAGCACATCACACTTGCATGGCTCTGCCCAGCACCAGTGCATGAGGGGRTGAGGCAGGTAACCAGAGCTGCCTCAGCCTTCTCTGGCTTTGTATCCACTTCGTTTTGCTAAGGCTAAAAAAGGAATGTGAAATAAAAGATGAAATGTTTTTAAACACACTGAAGTGACTATAAATGTTGCGTTTGGGCTCTTCTAGTCTCACTCTGCAAGAACTCCTGCTGTTCCCTTTTTCATTTACAAGAGATTTGTTGTTTGCATCAAGTTTGATTGTGATGAACATGAACACCTAGGAATAATACYTGCATAGTGATAAAGAGCTGTTCTTGAAGTATGCTGCCCCTTTTACATCTTCCTGGGTCTTAATAGTGCTGTATATCCCCAAGAATTGTATTTTTGCTTTTCATTCTGATGATCACGTGATTATAGCGTAACTGAGATCTGTGGAAATACAACACGCCTGAACTCAACTCTCTCCTCATTTGCTGTTTTCAGGTTATTACCCTAACAGTTGGGAACAGCCCCACAGTCACCAACCCTTTCCCAGCAGTTGAACCTGCWGTGGTGAAGTTCATCTGTGCTGTCCCTTCCCGACTGACTGTGATTCCTGTTTATGGCAGCCCTCAGCTTGATCTCTCCTGCCCTTTGCTCCAACAGAACAAGCAAGTGGTAAGCCTGGGAAATGACAGGAAAAGGAAGTGTTCTTAAAACTGAAAATCAGTGTTTGGAGCTGTAYGTGTGAAATAAAGTATCTGAGCTGCTGCAGGAAGAGCAGGAACTGGAGCTGTGGCCACACTGGTGCCCTTGGGAGCTCCTTCACAGAGCAGGCTCAGGTGGGGGGTCCTGCAGAACGTGGCAGCACGTCAGGGCAGGGGATTCTGCCCTTCTGTTCTGCWCTGGTAAGAGCCCAGCTGCAGCACAGCATCCAGCTCTGGGGTCCCAGCACAAGGAAGATGAGGAWCTGTTGGAGCAAGTCCAGAGGGAGGGACACGAAARTGCTCTGGAGCCAGGCTGGGAGAGCTGAGGGGTTCACTTGAAGAAGAGAGGATACAGGGAGACCTCAGAGCYCCTTGCAGGGCCTCAAGGGGCTCCAGGAGAGCTGGAGAGGGACTTTGGAAAGGACCAGGAGGGACAGGACACAGGGAATGGCTTCCTGCTGCCAGAAGGCAGGGTTAGATGGGATGCTRGGAAGAAATTCCTCCCTGTGAGGGTRGGGAGGCMYTGGCACAGGGTGCCCAGASAAGCTSTGKCTGAGCTTGGATCCCTGCCAGTGTCCAAGGCCAGGCTGGATGGGGYTTGGATCACCCTGGGATAGTGGGAGRTGTCYYTGCCCATGGCAGGGGRTGRAATGGGGTGAGCTTTGAGGTCCCTCTCAAACAATTCTGGGATTCTGCAGTGACCATTCAAACAGGTTTATAAAGGGAGCTATCAGAAAACAGGAATACACCTGAAAATGTTTGGATTGTGGCTTCTTACAGAAGTGTCACACTGAGGGAGCCATTCTGACTTGTGAGATATTTTTTTTTATATAAAAAAGAGGGAGGAGAGAAGTTTCAAGTAGTTCTTTCTGAAGAATGCTCTGTACCACTTCATTCTAATCTAACTGTTCTCTTGAATAATAGAAATATTTTACCATCCATGTATTATTATATGAGTGTGCATTTGTGTGTTGCCTTACCGRTGAAGGCACAAACTGTGGATCACATACTGTGAGTAGTGGTCAGGGACATCAGAGGTGACCAGCTGTACACCCTGAGTCACAGTAAATGGACAATGTTTATGTGTAGATTATCAAGCATAAAGAACTTTGCTGGTCTGTATTTATTCTGTATTCTCTAWCCTAATGAGTGTTGTCACGTGTTGGCTGCTGAGTAAACCATGTTTTGTTGTGTTAATATTTCCAGGCAATTGTAAAAGTCATCCTCCCCTAAAACTGCAGTGCCTGTTGAGTTGATGAATCATTGAAAATAGATTCATCAACTACTCTGTATAACCAGAGGAGAAGGAGATTTTTGTGTATTGTTAGCCACTCCAGAGCTCACTTGCTTTCCTGCCTCCATTATGTGTCAGTTAAGCCTGCCTTGGTGCACTGCTGTTGCTAATGCACTTCACAAGAACAACACCAGAATTTTGAGCTTCTGACAAACACCAGTGTTTATCATTCATTCTTTGAATTCTAAAAACAATTTTGTTGAGCTGTCGTTCAGTTTTGTTGTTGTTTTGGGGAGGGGCTCTTTTTGTTTTAAGATMATTTGTTTGTTTTAAGATAATTCACTGGCTAAAAAAATGCCCATCGTTCAGGAAAGCTCCTTTGGAGTTCACAAATTCACAGAATATTCTGAGTTGGAAGCGCCCCAGAAAGATCATCGAGTCCAGCTCTAAATGGCCCATTCAGGGAYTGAGCCCACATGGTGTTATCAGCCCCATGCTCTGACCATCTGAGATAATCTCAGGGTAGCTGGAGTACAGCTTAATGCCTTGCACTGATGCCTCATTTTAATGAACCTTTCTTATGTAATGATGTTACAAAAAATCTCACAGAACCGAGCGTATGTTTTCTTTAATGATTAAAAAATCCTTCAGTTCAAAATAGTCCTTCTTTTTCAGGTTCCYGTTTCCAATTACCGCAATCCAGTACTGGATTTGGCTGCCTATGACCTGCAAGGCCGGAAATTTGACAACTTCAGCTCTCTTAGTGTGATGTGGGAATCCACAGATAAGGCCATTGCTCGTATTGAGCCACATCTGCCAATGGAGCTGACTCTGAAGGAGGAGGGGAATGGTCGGATGAAAATGCATGGTATGAGAGGGTTTAAATGAGCGTTTCATGGTTTGAAGATTAGGATTAAATCTGTTTGTCTGAGCATGATTAAAGAAATGAATCCACAGTCATACTTAGCTTAACATCAATGTGTATTTTTGTAGCGTGCAGTACTAATGGGAGGAAAAAAAAGAACCAAATCAAATATCTAGAACCTGTCTTGAGAGAGAAAATKGTTGTGTGGTGAGAATGATCCTAGAAGAGCTAAGCAGTGTATCATTCATCTTTGTTGCATTCTAGGCTTACAGACTGTTGTAGTTGATCGTGAGTTTGGAACTGCTGCCATCTCTGCCACTGCCACTGGATACCAGCAGTCCCACCTGAAGGCAGCCAAAGCAACAGTACCGGTAACAGCACTCAGGGTTTTGGTGCCATTTCCCTGTGATTAATGCCCCRTGTTCCTGGGATGGATTTATTTCCTCCGTGCATAGCACTGTACAAATAAGGCAGCTCCATGGTGATGTCTGGACACAGGGTGAAACAGCAGTGGTTTTATACTGATTCATGGCTTTTCTGCTTTCCTCTGCACTAGGTGCTGCGATCCGTACCAAACATATCCAAGTCCTTGGGAGTTTTTTTAATCATGTGGGCAAAGTCATTGCAGAGAAAGTGTTTCAGTTGGTTTTGTTTCAATTTAAGGTTTTTAATGAATTGGTGAATCTCTGCTGCTTGTCCTTCACTAMGGCAGCCATGTGCTTTGTGCAGCTGTCACTGGGGAAAGCAAATGGATTATTGCCACTGCAAAGCTGGGTGGGAAAGTTCTGCATGAGCAAAGCAAAAGCTGACTGATTCCTCATATGGACCATATGTTAGTCTGGGCTCTGACTAATGCTCTCTCTTTTTTTTTCCTGAGAGACTTCTGCAGTTGTACAATGCCAGCCATAAGCCCAGGCTCTCATTTTACAAGTCATTAGCCACTCTCTGAAATACTTAGTTTGCAGRTACTCAGCATAGGGAAGAAAAATGGCAAAAGGTAGTGATGATGAACAAAGAGGGCAGGTGTAAACAGATGGCAGTTTTCTGTTTGTCACTTTTTTAAACTGAATATGAGGGCAGGTTTCAGCCTTTGGAATAACCTGACATGTGCACTAAGTGACTCTTAAAATATCCTGCTTCTTAAATGGAATTGGTGTGGAGCTTTGTTATGGAAGATTTCAGTGGGTTTGGATATGCAGTACCTTGAAAACAGAGTTGAGGCAAAGAGTGAAATATGCAGTGAGAGGTTACAGTATTTAACTGAAAGCAGGTAGCAGATGGGCACCACTAATGTGACCCTGTGGGCCAGGTTCCTCTCAGCGTGGCGAAGGTTTGGCATCTGCTTAGTAAATTCTTTGAGATGATCTGTTTTGCCACTTGGTTCTCGACTTCCCTGGGAGATTTCTACTCTTCTGTTGGGAAGCATGGTGTTGATGGATTTCCCTGGAGAATTTGACTACAGCTTAGTCAGAATTACTACAGTAGAGACACAATTACTTTGCTACTGAAGTTATTCAAGGACATTGGTTATGTTTCTTTTTTTTTTCTCCTTAAAAATTAAGTTGTAATATGGATACTTGATATTCTGCAATCATTTTGTAAGTCATTGTGCTCTGCTTTGGTAGACCAGTATTCAATATTCTTTCTTATTTTAGAAATAATTAGAGAAGTGAATGCTTTAAACTTTGCCTTGAATTCAGAGAGGAATGGAGTACATGTATGTAAAATGGCTCTGGAGCTCTCTTAAGTTCTGTTCTCCATGTTTAAGGCTGGGAGGACTCTTTGGTAGTTGTAGATGCCAGTTCTGCTACACTTTGTAGGCTCATGTGTTGTTTCTTTGAATGAGGTAACTTCGCTGCTCTTTTCAGGTAGCAATGGGCTGCTTTATTCTGCTTTCAAATGTGCCCATTCTCTTTTCTTGCAGCCAAAAACACAAACAAAAATCTAGTAGATGGGATATTAAGATGTCTTGATCGTTGTTCCATGTTTAAGTGGAACACCCTATTATGTCATTAGGGAAAGATGACATCCTTTCTACATCAAGGAAATAATTCTACTAATTAGGTGAACTGGGTACAGAATAGTAACTTCCTCAAAAAACCTTTTTCCTTTTCTCATCTAATGTTGTTATGAGTGAGTGATTAAACCTGCATCTGGTCCAGTGTTCATGTACTTACATTTAAGGAAGAATTTCTCTTGGTGGCCTGCCAAGAGTAAGCAYGAAAAGATGAGTTAGAAGTAGAAGAAAACTTTGTGCATTTGCCTCATCATTCTGTATGAATTTAGGCCATGTCTCAGAGTTCATACCCTGGCTGTGCTTGGCAGACATGATTCACTGATCCTGCAGTGCCTGGGCCCGTGTCCTCTGGCTCRGCCAGGGGTGCAGAAGAGACCATGCCCTGAGGGTGCCCTTCCCTGTGCAGGAGATCTGACTGAGCCATCTGGGTCTTGTGGGTATCTCATAACCTCCACTTGTGCTCTGGCCCTTTGGTCACCTGCTTTAAGCATCCTCCCTGCACACACAGGAGATGTGCAGTTTTCTGCCTCTGCTCTGACTACTAAAATGGTTCCTTGCAGTATGAAGCTGTGCTCCCAGGACCTGCCACCATTGAACTGATGCTCGTGGAAGATGTGAAAGTGAGCCCTACTGCAGTGTCCATTTACAACCACCCTGACGTGCAGGTAAAGAGTTACACTGCTGCTTTCCAGCTGCAGGGAGGAAAACATCACACATCATAGAAGATSTGTAAGAAGACCAGTTTTACTAGAAAGATAAAATCTTAATTTTGGATGCTTTTCTGGTTTTGCAGGCAGAACTTCTCATCCAACAAGGTTCTGGATATTTTTTCATTAATACCAGTGTGCCAAATATTGTAAGAGTGACACATGATGAGACTCGAAGTATTGCTTTGGTGAGTGCAGTGTTTTGTTACTGTTCTGCAGCTTCAGCACTCCTGGTCATTTTTTAGCACATATGGATAGAGAGGCAGTAGCTGCGTTTTGGGTGYGTTTCCTGTCACAGTCATGCTTCAGGCAAGAGATCTTTGCACTGGCACTTTCAAGTATAGTTTCAGGTACAGGAAATTGTTTCATTACAGTTGTGATGCACACATGTTCTCTGTACAATATAAAAGCCAGTACAAAGTACTTCACCCATTACAGCTTTGYAATAAAATGTTCCTGGTTTCGCAAATACAAAATGTAAAATAATGTGACAGAATTATTCAGAAGTATTATGCATAAGATTAATTGGTTTCCAAAGTAATACTGGAATATTTGCCATGGGCTACTACTGAAAGCTTTAAATTCTTCTATAGTGCTGTTTCAGGGTGTTTTTTAATCACAGTATTGCATTCTGATTTTGTGRAAGAGTATGTATTAAAGAGTTTATTTCTGATCTCCATATTAAGGTTCTAATGCACTTTTCCACTAGAAGATACARCTAAAGTGCGGGTGTGCTTGACTTCATCAGGCCCAGAATATGAAATGCATTCTGCAGTGAGCAACAGTAAAACTATGTTTGCATTGCTGCTTTCACCAGGCAAGAATTGGAAAAGAAACAAGTTGCTTTGAAGAGKAGTTTTTATAAATCTATAATTTACAGATTTGTTTTGTAAGAAATCATGCTGATAATGTTGTGAAATAATGATAATTAAGGTGGAAATTAGAATATCAAAAGAATTTGTGAAACATTTTGATTGTCTCTAACTGTTGCAAGTGTGAGGTGGGAATATCTTTTCCAACTAGGCACAGAGGTGAGGAAAAAGTAGAAGAGATGAGACGTTTTTTGTACACAGTACACTGTTTAAACTCTTGGGTTTTTTTAGTCAGCTCTCCCTGATGGGTTTAACTGATRTACATGAGATAAGTTCAGTGCTATCATCTGAAATTCAGGAGTGGAGCAGTGACAGCAAGATGGACTTTGTGAAGTGTAGAAAGAGATTTAACTGCCTGTCAGATTAGAGGAGAGAAAACCCTAATTTTAACACATTTTTAAAAAATGCAACCCCATGCACACGAATTTGGCATGTTTGTAAGCCCTGTGTGCTGTGTTTGGGTTAAATCCCAGTACCACCCGTGGATTTYTCCATGGAGGCAGCAGAATGGCCTGGGAAATCAGCAGGCTCTGTCAGGCTGCTGCTGTGGCAGGTGCTARTGCAGCCAGGTTGACAGAGGATGGGTTGATAGTAAACTCTTCAGAGAAACTAAATTCAAGTTATCTGGAGCAGTGATTCCCAGACTCTTCGCTGGGGCTGCCAGTGATAAATTCTGTACCTCTCCCTCTGGTTTTGATGCAGCAGCTTTTCTGGGCACGGGTGGTAGCAGGATAGGAGTGAAGAATGTTCACCAGTGCAGTAACTAACCCTGGATATTGGGAGCCACTGGACACCTAATGGGAGAGGAGAACTGCAGAGGTAGGGGAGACAGGAAGAGTTTTAAAAGTTGCAGTAGCTCTACTTGCCCTTTTCCCTCTCCTTATTTCCTCTCTTTGCTCTTCCAGCCCAGCTGASCAGCATTCCAGCTCCCTCCCCTGGCCACCTCCCCTGCTCTGCTGCCCAGCCCCTGTRTTAGCCCCCCTCCCTGGAACTGCTGCTGTTCTGGAAGCTGACCTTTATTAAAACTTCTCATCCTTTTCTATTTTGAGGCAGAAGTAAGAGTGGTGCCYGCAAAGAACAAAATGTCAGCTCTTCCCACTGCTCTGCCTGCTGACTCCCATAGTGCTGCTGAGCAGTGCTGAGAGTTCATTGAGTTCCTTTGCACTGGGGGGCCTGGCCATGTCCCCTTGTTCAGAGTTCAGAGCAGCCTGGTGAGTGCACAGAACAGGACACCCAACTTCAGTGCTGTCCCTGCCAAAGCTAAGAGAACAGCTGGGATTGTCCCTGAGGTCTGTGGCAAASTCAGGCACCTGCAAGAGAACTGCAGAGCTGATGTGAGCAAAGTGGGGGTGCTTGGCCTTGGGAGCAGTGACTTTGGGATAGGTGCTTAGTTCTGAGGGCTTGTGTTTGTGAGCAGAGGTCTCTTCATTGTTTTATTCTCTTTATCTGTTAAGAAGTGTAACATTCTTTTTCTTAAAAATTAATGGAATAGTAGTTATATTAAAGAAATAGCTGATCTGTCAATCATCCTCTTGTCAGGATCTGCCATGAGGTTTTGGCTGCTCAGACAAAAAGCAGTTACAGTAGAGTACAACTCTTGCAGGAAGCAGTACCAATGCTTTATAGGCATAATCTTTGTCCTGGATATTTTTTTTCCTTATCACTTTGCTTTTCACTCTGCTAAGAAAAATTTTGTTTCTCTAAGTGATTTGTGTGTTTTTTCTCCTTTAACAGGATGCCAGACTGTTCCAGATGGAGAGCTGTTAATTCACTTGGTGCCTGGGGCTGTTTGCACTAGCCCAGTAGCATGATATTTTTTACATATATTTTACAGTTTGATTTTTATTTTAGTGGAAGAATTCTCTGTGTCTATGTTTGGAGATTTCTGCATCCAACTACTTCTGCCATGAAAGCGATTTACAGATTTTACCCTGTGAACAACAGACAAAGAAAATAAGTGCTATAATGCAGTTTTCTTTTGGCATTGCAGGTGCAGCCCATGCTTCCAGGATCAGTGAGTGTAATGATTCATGACTTGTGTCTGGCTTTGCCTACCCCAGCTGAAGCTGAAATTTATGTATCTGATATCCAGGAACTGTATGTGCGAGTTGTTGACAAGGTCAGTGCCTTTGAACCAGCATTAGGAGCTGATCCAGCCAGCTCTGRCTCCCTGTGCTGATCCTGAACACAAAGCTGAGACAAGATACAATAGAGAAAACACTGATCTCCCTGTGTCTCTGTTTCTCCCTCCCAAATTTATCCCTTTAGGTTATAAGTGTCTCAGATTATCAGRTGTCTGTTCACATTCTGTGTGGCAGCAATCTCAACTTTTGCACTTACACAGCAGTGTTAATCCRTAATTTATATGGACATGCCCATTTACATTTCCTCCTGTTTGAAGTGCACGTGAGCAATTCTTTTAGGACTATGTTTTGCCCCAAGGTAATTTCCCATATGTCAGGTTTTAAAATGGAACAAAAAGAAGTCCAGCTCATTCCACTTGCTATCTTGGGTGCACTTTAAACAAAATAAGTGTTGATATTTCTGGATGTTTTAATTATGCCCTTGCCAGCTGAAGGACCTGAATTCATTCATTTCATTTGACACTAACTCTAGCTGGCAGGGATTAGTCTTTAAAATCAGTGCTAATCTAACCTTGGGGCTCTATCTCCACTACCCTACTACAAGTRTAATGCCAAATAAAATGAAGATGTTTATGGTAACAAACAGGAGTGGTTTGAATGCAAAATGACTGGATATGTCTGTTTCAGGTGGAGATTGGAAAAACAGTTAAGGCTTATGTCAGAGTTCTGGATGACTCAAAAAAACTTTTTCTGGCAAAATAYTTTCCTGTCATGGACCTGAGTCTAAAAGCAGCATCTCAGATTGTCTCACTTGTGTAAGTTAATGGATTTTTAAAATTAATCTGCAAATAAGGGTAAGCAAAAAGGAATAAAGATACTAGATTAGAGGCATGGTAATATACAATGACTGAAGATTTATTTGTTTTATTTTTGTGAAGTCTTAATTACCTGTTAAAAGGTAAAAATTACTACTTGTGAGGGAAATTGCCTGAACTAACAGCTTGAGTGTTCCTGGCTGATGAATGAGACTGCATTCCTACACTGTAATATCTGATGTAGCTTTGTGCTTCTTGGAAGCAGTGACTTGGCAAATATTGTCAGGTGAAGAGTGCTATGTGAAGGCATATCTGATCTGGCTGTCACTTGTTTAATTTTCATTTCAGGTATTTAATGTTATAATCAAACAGTTGCAAGGAGCCATGATGTGTAGAAGTGCGAKGGTTCCCTTAACTTTGCTTCAGACATAGCCCCTTAGCCTTGTAGTAGAGCTGCTGTGCACGAAATAAGTGCTTTGCTTTATTTGTAATGCACTCAGTGAATGTCTCTATTTAATGCATTGCTTTGCTGCAGCCCCCTCGGGGAGGCTCTGGATGACCACACTGCTGCKTTCCTGGTGCGTGGGATGGCCATTGGGCAGACGAGTCTTACAGCAACTGTGGCTGACAGAAGAGGACAGAGAATCAACTCTGCTCCACAGCAGATTGAAGTAAATCATTTTAGATAAAATATATGCATAAACAATGGCTGTGCTACAGTGGAACAGCAATTTGTAAATTATAATTACAGTATAGTAATCAATTTGCCAGAAAATTCATTCTGTCTGGAAATTGACCTAATGCCAGTCTGTTTCAGATATCAGCATTGTTTAACTGCAAATGAGTTAAATTTCTGCATGCTCAATTTACTGTAATTAGGCAACTAAAGACTCAGTTTTACACTTGTACTGTTTTGTGACATAATTTATCTCCTTGAAGGATCCTGAACACAGGTATTTATATTTCTGGTTTTAGGTGTTTCCCCCATTTAGACTACTGCCAAGGAAAGCGACCCTAATTATTGGAGCCATGATTCAGGTGAGGCATTTTCTTACATATTTTCTTTATTTTGTAATTTCTGTTGTAAAATGAATAATTATAATTGCATTTTCAAAAGTAGATTGTCAGCTTGACGTTTGTCTGCGTTCACACGGAATGGACTGACAGGATTGATGGACAGAGACTTMAGGCAAGGGCCTGGAGTGATAGGACTAGGGGGAATGGCTTCCAACCTGACACAGGGCAGGGTTAGGTGGGATATKGGGAAGGAATTCTTCCCTGTGAGGGTGGGSAGGCCCTGGCACAGGGAGCCCACAGAAGCTRTGGCTACCCCTGGATCCCTGGCAGTGCCCAAGGCCAGGTTGGATGGGRCTTGGAGCTGTCTGGGATAGTGRAARGTGTCCCTGCCCCTGGAACAAGATGATCTTTAAGGTCCCTTCCAAACYCAACCCATTCTGGAAGTCTGTCATGAATACTCTGAGCAAGGAAAGTGTCATTCTTGAGCCAGCTTCTGTTTTGCTGTGTTGCTGTATCAAAGGATTTGTGTTTCTTTTGTCAATGGAGTGTCAGCTTTTCTGGTGTTAAAGACCAGCACAGCATGAATAAATCTGTCAGCTCCGTGAGGTTAGGAACAGTGGGCTGGTTTCTGTTATACAAACACAAACACAAAACAGAGCTCTACACCAGGATGGTGAGGAGAAAGGGAGGTCAAGTTTTCTGAAGCTTTCTGAAGTGGAGATAGCATCAACCTGTGACACTCTGTGAGGCACAGGGTCCACTCCTGTGGTCACTCACATATTTCCCAGGCTGACATCCTGCAAGGACCAGTGTGCAGGAGGAATAGTCCTGGAGCTGCCCTGGGATGGTGCAGGCAGCACTGAAGTCACTGTGGTGTTGAGTTGGAAGGGTTGTGCCCTTTAATGTAACATGGAACTATCTGAAGGGTTAATGAATTGTTCTGTGTGCTGTTCTGGCAGATCACTGCTGAAGGAGGCCCCCAACCACTGTCCAACATCATTTTCTCCATTAACAAYGGGCACATTGCATCAGTGAACAGCTCTGGGCTGGTCAGAGCAGTGGCCATTGGCAAAGGGGTGGTGACAGGAGTGCTGCAGGCTGTTGATGCAGAGACAGAGAAACTTGTGGCCGTGTCTCAGGTAATGTTTATGCTACTGTTGGGGGCTGAAAGGGGCTCTCTGACTCATGGCTTTGGTTCTGAAAGGTGGGAGGCAGATAGTCTTTCTGCATTAACAGTGTTATGTTGTGCACTGCTCTGGTTTCCTGAAGATGAAAGCTCTATGTTTTTCTCTCCCTGGCCTGTGAACTTACACAAAGGTGGGACATTGAACAGGGTAGGTGAATCTTGCTGTGCCTTACACCAAAGCTTTACTGATGATTTTACCAGTCTGGTATCTCCAGGACTGATTTGTGCAGCTAGAAAAGCCCATCTAAAGAAGCCTTTTTAACACAGCAGAAGGATGTCCTTGCCTGTGTTCCCTCTTAGGATCCAGAAGGCAGCTGTTGCCCAAACCCACATTATCTCTTAAGCTCTAGCAGTTTGTATAGAACACTGTCATCCTGTATTGTGGTCTGAACCCATCTATGAGATGTAAGCAGTGAATCCCTGATATTCCATCAGAATCTGTAACCCTAGATTTTCCTGCAGCTGAGTGTGAGGGAGCTGAGCAGGCCTACAAGGGAGCACAAATCCCTGGGACTTGCCTGAGACTCATAACAACAGAACTTGGGCCAAGTCTTAAGACTTCTTCCATTGAGGTCAAGGCAGCACAGCTGCTGTGAACCACAAAGCTCTGCTGCTTGAAAGGTGTCAGCACAGGCCAAGAGTACACAAAGTAATTTTTTTTAAATTAAATATAAAGAAATCTGTGCTTTTCAATGCATGGGCAGCAGTCTGCACTAATCGTGTGACAGGAGGCACAGTGAACTTGAAAGGTGAGTCTGCTACCTGGTGAGGTCCAGGACCTCTTCCCCCCAGGATATAGCAGGAATAAAATCTATCAGGAATGTCTGTATATGAAGAGGAGATGTCAGTGTTACAGATCCTTTTATTCTCAGTTGTCCCATTTGGTACTCTACAATCCCCATTTCTTTCTAAYTCCCTCCATGTCTTCCTTCACCTCYTGGGTTTCTTCATCCCTCTTCTGATGGGGATACCTGTGATCACGTCCACTGCTGCCTCTGACTCTCAGCTCYGTCATTCATGTCATCAGTAATTTTGAGCAGAGATTTTTTCAATTTRGGGGCATTTTTAAATGCCTATCAATCAACAGTTAATGCTTCTTTAGTTTTTACAGTTCTACTGAATTTGTCCATCTGCATTTTCTCTGATAAGTCATGCAAATCAGGTAATGGCACAGCAGCGGCTATAGAGCCTGAAAGTGAAATCTTGTTCCTGTTTCTCAAGTGTTTATGGTGTCTTCCTTTCCTCCATCCCAGGACAAGGTGGAAGTTGAAGTGGTACAGCTGACAGCGGTCAGAATTCGTGCGCCCATTACACGAATGAAAACTGGTACTCAGGTGAGTTGGTTTGGGATTGCCTTCTGTTACCTTCACATGTTGAGCTGCAGGTTGTGACCATTCCTGTCAGACTRTCTGCTGACAGCACTGCATCTCTGGGAGGTGCCCCTGCTGCTGGTGCAGGGATTGTGCTCTCAGTGGAGGAGGTTCCCTGTGAGGGTGGGGAGGTCCTGGCACAGGTTGCCCAGAGCAKCTGGGGCTGCCCTTGGATCCCTGCARKTCTTCAAGACCAGKWTGGATGGGGCTTGGAGCAATCTGGGATAGTGGAAGGTGTTGCAAGGGGATGGAACAAGATGAACTTTAAGGTCCCTTCACACTCAAACCATTCTGGGATTCCCTGATATTAAAACAGAATTARTAACAAGTTTACCTTATGTACCAGGCTTTTGAAAATTCAAGCCCTGCTGATGCAGCAGCCCTTAATCTGGAGAATGGTTCTCTCATCTTCACTCTGCAGTGGAGACTTCCTTCATTTGTTGCTGACAGTCTCCACTGTGTCTGTTCTATCCAGAACAGATATTGCTTAAATTATCCTTCAATAATCCTGTTTTTTCAAGAGTCTCTGTTACCCTATTAGTTACTTATTTCGAACTGAGTTTTATTCTCTGTGCTCTGGGCAGGTGTTTGGTTTGCATGCTGAAATTGCCTAAGCAGGCTGGTTTCTCTCTCTCCAGATGCCAGTTTATGTCATGGGCATCACCAGCAGCCAGACTCCCTTCTCCTTTGGCAGTGCCATGCCCGGGTTAACGTTCCACTGGTCTGTCACCAAGAGGGACACTCTGGATGTGCGGACAAGGCACAGTGAGGTGAAGTGTGTGTGTGTGTGTGTGCAGTGTGTGTGTGTGTGTGCAGCAGGGGAAAGGAAACAGCCACATCAGCGCAGTACAGAGAACATTGCTGCCTCCACTGCCTCAAAATCCAGGATCAGTGGTCAGCACCAGGCGTGGTATTTCCTCTGTGCCACTGTTCAGGCTGTCCATGAGGCAAACTTTACTCCCTTTCTCCTGTCCAAGGCTGCTTTTCACCTTCCTGCAAACTACAACTTTGCAGTGGATGTTTATGGCAAAGTAAAGGGAAGAACAGGCCTCAAAGTTGTGGTGAAGGTCCTGGACCCTGCAGCTGGCCAGTTCTACAACATGGCGAGAGAACTGTCAGATGAAATCCAAATTCAGGTGAGATGRTTTTCTTCACGTGTTTAAATACCTATTTCAGAACTGGATTTGARGTGAGGAATTTGAAATGCAKAGGAGTAGCTCMAGCTTTGGTTTGTCWTTGAGCCCTTACTCTTGTTTGTGTAATGTTCCTCATTTGGGCTTATTCAGTTCATGGGCTAAGGAGGCAGGAGGAGTGTAAACTCAGGTGAATGTGGAGTTCCCAACACCATTCCCCTTGAAAAGTCTTCTGTTTTCATGCTGCTTTTTATTATAGCCATAATGCTGGAAATAAATGCTTTTCAGAATAATTTGTAGAAGATACTGGCTATTCCATTCTGAAATATTCATGTTCAGTTGTCTTTTTTTACCGTGTGTATTATACAAGGGCAAAAAAGAAAGTTACAGTTCTATTTGTTTTTTTTGTTTGTTTTGAAGATTAAATTAATAGAAGTAAACTACCTTCTGCACACAACAGTAAGCTRAAATGCCTCTTACTTTCCAGGTGTTTGAAAAACTTCATCTAGTCACTCCAGAGGTAGCAGCAGAGCAAATTTTAATGTCACCAAATTCCTTTATTAAACTTCAGACTAACAGGTCAGTGCTCAGTTTCCATACTGTGACTTGTGTCAACTCTTTATCCAAACCGTAGGGCAGGTCTGTTTGAAGGGAGCTGTTTCAGTCTTTTGGTATCACTGTACCTTCATTTAATACACTGCTTATCTGGTGGTTCACAGTATCTTACCTTTTCTCTCAAGCTTTGTCAAATCTTGTATTAGATTGTAGCTGGAAAATTCATTCACTGTTGGGAACTTTCAGATCCTTATTTTAAAAGCTGCTGAGCCAGTTAAAGCAGTATCCTGCTGCCTGCTTCCAGTAGAGGTTCTGATGGGTGATTGAGGCTTTGTGGAATSTATTCTATGTATTTCTTACACAGAGCCTGTAGCTGGATTTTCAGATTAAAATGTCATTTCCAAATGAGAAATTCTTTTTTCATAATCTGTTTTCAAAGACTGACATTTTAGATTCATACCAGGCTTGAAATGTAGTTCTCCCAGCATAGTAATGGGCAGATAGAGACAGTAGTACACTGAAGGCAAAGCTTTAAGAGACATGTACATTTTATGGGGAGGGACTTGAGTTTCATAGATTCACAGGATGCTTTTTGTTGGAAGAGACCCTAAAGCTGATGCAGTCCCACCCCCTGCCATGGCAGGGTCACCTTCCAACTGTCCCAGGTCACTCCAACCTGGCCTTGAGCYGGAGCTCCAGTGACTTTGGTCATTTGGCATCTGCTTTTGATACAGTGCACTCTCACTTGGAGCAACTGATGTTATTTTCTCTCTTCTGAGGAGTTTTTCTCACTAATTAGTCATTAAGGTGGTAGATACCAGTTTATATGTCTTTGTCCTAGTATCTTCATTATGCAGTGTTGGAGCCTCTGTCTGAGCTCCACCAAAACCAATTACACTGTTGCCAACGAAAGGGCAATTGAAGTCCTGCTTTAATGCTTTTCTCTCAGGATAGAGTATTTCCATCTGTCTTTTTCTATGTGGAGGAGCTTGAGAGGGAAAAAAAATCATTTACAGCTGTGTTAGAAGGTRTGGTAAATGGTACTTGAAAGCAGCCAGTGTCTCAGAATGCCCACKAATGGCATTAGATGTATTTGCTGTCTGTGCTAATATGCAAATACCATGGGAAGTGCTATTCCAAAAATTCACCTTGTCTACAGAACCACTTCCAGGCAGCTGAGGAGATCCACTTACTTCAGCTCCTGGCCTTACCTCAGACTGAGCTACCTGAGTATTGTTTTCACAAAATGATGGCAGATGGCAAAAATGCCTTGTGTGTTTTCTGATGTAAATATCTGGAGTCACATTTATCTCAGTGCATGGAAACCAAATTTTAGTAAATAGGTAAACCCCAGTGGGTCTTCCAAGGGAGCTTGAATCAGAACTTAAACTTTTTCTTAGACTAGCACACCTCATTTGCATTTTTTGTTGGGGAGACGTGATAAAAACACAATTTTAGTGTTCTAGATTGTTGTTATGTATTGGTGTAAATGCAGTTTTACACATTTTAAGGGTTCCCTACTTTCTGTTTTTCTTCAGGGACCGAGTGGCTTCCTTGAGTTACCGTGTCCTGGATGAACCAGATAAAGTCCCTGTTGTGAAAATCGATGAGAGAGGTTTTCTTATCTCTGGGTCTGTGATTGGATCATCAATGATTGAAGTGATTTCACAGGAGTTGTTTGGCATCAATCAGACCATCATAGCTGCTGTTCAGGTACTGTCAGCTCTCTTTCTTTCCAGTTTCCTCAAATACATTTTCACTACTGCAACAGTGATTGTTGGTGGCACTTCYTGATCTTCACTTCTGAAAAATGAGCAATGTAGGAATTAATAGTTCTGAGCTTTGAAAAAAGTTCAGTAGACTAAGTGTAGATGGATAAGCATTAAATCCCCGCAAATTCTTAAATCTGGTACATTTTGCAAAAAACCTTTTCATGCATGTGCTTAAAAATTTCTTTAAAAAAAAATTTCCTAAAAAATCTCTTAAGAGGCTGATAATTACAAAAGTTCAAATACAGAAAAAAAGGATGTCAGCTTCATAAATATTGCAATGGGCAAAAAAGGTAAATATCATCTGGAGGCACGAATATAAATGCAGCATCTGTTGCAAGGTACCTGAGTGATACCTAGATTTTCAAGATACCAGTGTTGCAACTGTAGACTACCCMAGAGTTTGATTTTCTCTGCTGTTCCCCAGCAGTTCAGCCTGTGCATGGAACGAGGGGCTCTGTATGAGGGTCTCTCTCACCAGAGGCTGCTGCTGCCTGTGTTTGATGAGCAGGCAAGGAGCATGTCCAAGGCTGCCCTGTTGGCCTGAGCCACCCTGAAAAGTGGGTACTTCAGGACATGGCAAACCTGCCACAAAACTCACACAGCTAATGAAACATTTTCCTCTCCAAAACTTCCTCTGTCATGTGAAGTCTGATGTGTCCTACTGGGCAAGCACTTGGGACACCAGGGAATGTATGCCCACCATCTCTATTAAAAAAATCTTTGAGCCAAGAACTTCCTGCATCTGCATGTGAGCCCTGAGGTAGCTGCTGCTCCCCTTCTTCCTATCCCTTTTTACTGTCAGCATCTTTATGGTGTCCCAGCTGAAGGAGAAAGGTGTACAATTGAGTGCTTTTAAATTATTTCTAAGTTTAAGTCATGTAATCACTGTGAAGTGGCTTGGTGGATTTTTTTTTAATTTGAATTTTGATGTTTCCCATAATGTTCAGCTTTGCCTGTAGGATGGGGGTAGGCCTGTCCTCCTGAGTAAGGAATGAAACAAGAAATGGGGGCCCAGTGTCAATAAAGCCACTCCTGCTATGAGGTGGTAGCAGTGAATTCTCCAGCTCTGTTACAGATGACCTTGTTTCTTCCCTCTGCTGCTGGATCTGGCAGTGAAAGACATCGAATGAGGTTGGGGGTGGCTCAAATGCCATTTAGTCAGCACACAGAGGGACTGAAGTCAAATGCCCTATGTGAGTTTGTCCTGTACACAGGWTATGGCAGAATGGTGATACAAAGCTCTTTGTAGTAGGACTCATCTCAGTTCAGCATCTTGTACAGCTCATTTGTTTTCCTGTACTTATTACACCTATAGTGCCTTTATGGAAATGATATTTTTAACCTCATGAAGTAACAGAGTGCTGCTGGTTCATTTTATGGCTTTAGAGCTGAGAGAGCTTGAAAGGTTTTGCTGAAGGTCATGTCAAAAAACTTGTGACAGAGCTGGAGATGAGCTTGAATGCATTGTGTCATTCTAAGGCAAAGCTCTCTCCTTCCCACTGTCCTTCTTTCATAAGGTCTCATGTTGTCTGTTTACAAGTGTACACAATTAAGAACCAAACTGCTGCAGCCACATCACTTCACACTTAGACCTTCAACTTGGCTCAAAGGAGGTTCTTACATAAGCCAGGGAGGATGGGGGAAAAAGGAGTCACAGTGTGTGTAGTGTGGGACCAAGCTCAGCGCTTGTCTGCATCAGCTGCACTCTGTATTTTTTTTTTTTAAGTTATAAAAAACATTTCAAAACCTGAGATGCTTTAACARTAAATGGCTGCTTTAATCAATATTAAATTTAGCAGTTGTCCCTTGTGGGACAGCTGCTGAGATTTTAAAGTAAAGCAAACTTGATAATCTGTCAGGGAAATGGGGTTTTTGTTGGCTTGTAACCACAGCTTGCTGGGCAGAGATCTGTATGCAGGGAGATTTTAACTGATGATACCGGCCTGTGGAGCAGACAGTGGCATATACTGATATTCTAGCCACTTTTTTTTTTTTTTTGATTCACCAAAGATGTATTTTGCTTGAGGCCAAATTTGTCCTTTCCTTTTTATGTTCTGACATGAACATTTTCAGATTGCAGAGTTTTACGTTTTAGCTGAGCCTCTTAGGTCAGGAAAAAAGGGATATTCCTACAWGAGAAGCTTGAGGGCTTCTTTTAAAATAGTTTTCTCAATATATGTGAGGGGTTTTGCCTCCTCTGTCCTTCCATTATTTCTTTTCCAACAGCTTTAACAAAAAGAGCAGATAGGGTTATTTTTGTTGGGTAATTTTGCTCATTGACCTAGGTAAGTTAATCAAGAATAGTAATATGCTATTTAAAAAACAAAAGAATAGGTTGTCAAGTCTTTGTCTTCAGAAAAACTGCCTTTCTTGGAGTGTTACTGCAGAAACACGGGGGTGTGCACATATGGTTAATGGAGCAGACTCTCCTAAGGAATTTGGAGCAGTTCCCAACTTCTGTCTTGGCTGAGGAGAGGCACTGAGGGAACAAAGCACAGGCTGCTGACCCCTTAGGGTTTGTCATCTGCCAGCTCTGCTTGGAACATCTTGGCTTTCTCACCTGGAGCTGGGGAACAGTGACCATTCCATCCCCTCACTCACATACATTGTGAGTTACTTGTCTCATAACTGGGGAACAAATTGCACCTTTTGTTTCAGGAATTATTAGGAGAGAGGTCATGGAGCCTCTTGTTCTCTTGCATATCCAGGGAATGTTAAGTTTGAATTTATAGGATAGTAATGTGTTCTMTAAAGTCTGTACATGATGTGTGATTCTACATCATTATTGCTTGTTTCAGTTCCCAGTGGTATTAGAAAAAAAGGATAAGAAATAGCATCTGTGAGGGTGTAAAGCAGATAGMGCCAGGCTTTTCTCAGCCATGACAGGGCAAGGGGAGCACGCAGCAATGGAACACAGGAAATGCTGTCTGAACATAGGAACTCCTTACTGGGGTGGGTGTTGAACACAGAGTCCAAGAGGTTGTGGAGTCTCCATCCCAGGAGATGCCCAAGAGCTGCCTGCACATGATCCTGGCCAGCTGGCTCAGGGTGACCCAGCCTGACCAGGGGCCWGGACTGGCCAGTGTACAGGGTCCCCTTTCAACCTGTGAAATGTGGATATTGATAGTAGCARCTCCTTGTGTTAGTCCTGCCATAAGGCTCAATGCAAATGGTTCATAAAGGAAACTGTGTATTTGCATAATGAGATCCCTTTTAGGTTATTTTTGTAGAGGCATCATAAAAAGCAATTTAATTTTCCCTCTCACTGCTGATGTTTTTCCAGGTCTGCCCGATCTCCTACCTCAGGATCTCCATGAGGCCTGTTGTGCTCACSCAGAACAAAGAGGGACTGCTGGCTCTGCCCCTGGGCGTGACACTGACCTTTACAGTCCATTTCCATGATAACTCTGGAGATACTTTCCATTCACATAATGGTGTGCTCAATTTTGCCACCAACAGGTGGGTATCAGTCACTGGTGGTAATTACAGAGAACAAAAAGGCCAAACACACATAGAACAAAGATTGTTCCAAAGATACCAGGTGAAGATACAGCTGGGCTGGGATTAGCAAAGCAAGGGTTTTGTCTCTTCAGCCTTCAGAGGCAGGAGCAGGAAGAGGAGTTCCAGTTAGCAATCGATATTCCCTTGCTGTRGAAAGCTGCCCAGATAAGCATGATCCCAGTGGGGCCTGCTGGAGTTGTGCTCTGCTTTAAGTGACTCTGAGTCATCCCCCTGCACGCAGCAGAGGCCTACAGAAACAGTTGATCCATCAGCATCTGCCTCCCGCAGTGCTGTGTTCCACTGACTCACTGGAGCCTTATGTAAGGTGGGGAATGTTCTGGAGCAGGGCTGTCTCTTCAGATGTGCATGTACAATCTTCTCACTGAGGAGACAAGCCTCAGAAGGCTTTTGGTCTCCGCCTCACAGAAAAAGAGTTGTAAACCAGTCTCCTGTGGTCTTTAGTAAAATTCCACTAATGCTGTTACTGTAGCATGGCTGGTTTTCTGTAGAGCACCTTGCATTTAAAGCACACTGAGCATGATGAAAAAGGAGTTGAGTCCAAGATCTTCTCTTACTTCAATGAAGAAATTTCTGTAGCATGCAGATACCCTGAGCTAAGCAGAGCTGTCCAGTACAAAGCTGATGGTGGCCTTAAGGAGGCACTGCTGCCAGSCTGGGGTGCAGCACTGTGGGGACCCAGCTGTGCTGCTGCCAGGACCTGCAGTGTCCCTGCCTCGTGTCAGTGTCTCTGCCGGGTGCTCCGAGTGTTGCTGTGTATGGGAGTGCTGAATTTGGGTAAATACCACAACTCACAATCCAGTAGGATTTGGCTTTGTAAAGTTGCATCTGAGATGTTGCATATTGGTGTTCAAATTCCTTGGCTTAACTCTCTTGAGAAGAGGAAAAGAGACAGATTATGTCATCCTAAAGCACTACAATTCCTAATTTTAAGAAGTGGTTCTTTTACTTAATTACGGCCTCAATATTTCCTCAGCATASTGATGAGCTGAGAATTGAAATTTGCCTCCCTGGCACCTAAATAATGTTTATAGTTTCCTCACTTTGTGGGGCTTCATTAGATGGCTGTTGCTGAAAACAAGCAGTCAGCCATCTGAAAGGAGTTTGCTAGGCTTCTTACTGGAGAGGTGATGACACAGCAARCTTGTCTTCACACAGCAGCATTTCTGTTTGTGTGCAGAGATGACTTTGTGCAGATCGCCAGGGGAGCCACCAACAACACCTTTGTGGTCCGGACTGTGAACGTGGGGCTGACCTTGCTCAGAGTGTGGGATTCAGAGCACAGTGGTGTTCCCGACTACATCCCTCTGCCAGTCCAAGATGCCATCTTCCCTGAGCTCCTCGATGTGGTGGTGGGGGACATCCTCTGCCTGAGGACCTCGCTGGCAGCCCAGGAGGGTGAGTGGCCTCTGGCTGTGTGGGTTAGCAGCTMTTCCACAGGACACCAGCGTGACTGGCTCATTCTCAGCAAAACCAAATGCATAATTTATCATGTTTGTTTGGAATCAAATGTCACTGTTCTTGTTTATGATAAAAATAGGTTTGATCAACTGCTCTTACTTTAATTGTACTGTGCAATATGTCTCTTGTGTTGAATTCCTGAGTATCACGCTTGAGACATTTCTGTTGCATCAGGTGGAAAGGTTTGTTTTTATGGGACTCCTGCAGAGTCAGGACTGCCTTTACTCACTGTGTTTGATTGGTGGTAGTAATGAGATCATGTCAGAATAACTGCAGGTCAGTTTGGTGTTGGGCTGCCAGCCTTCCACCACGAGCCCCTCGAGAGGGGTTTCTGTGCATTCCCTGTGCTGCCTGGGCAGTGGCACACAGACACCAATGTGGGGTCTGTGACTGGGAAGTACAAGCACTCTGGGCACAGTGGCACCCAGACACCAGAGTGCCCAGGAGATGTTGCAGTTGGCAAGCAGGGTGTTTGTCAGTGCTCCCATGGTGTCTTCCAGGCCTGCTGGGCGTGTGGAGCTCTTCCTCAGGTGCTCTTCTCGTGGACTCCAAGACTGGCGTGGCCCTGGCAAAGGAATCTGGGGTGGTCACTGTGTACTACGAGATCCCTGGGCTGCTGAAAACCTACAGAGAGGTGAGGCACTATTCAGTTCCAGCTGAGATTGGTTTGTTTTGCGTGAACCCTCACCAAACTCTATTCTGTGGGGGTTTTTSTGTTATATTTAGAAGTGTTCTTTTAGAAATCTGAATGGTTGGAAAGTATTTTCTATGTGTATAAAAAYGTTGCTGGGATTTTTTTAATCATCTATGCTCAGGAGGAAAGTGGAGCATAGCAACTTTGATTTTTCACCTATACTGTTGTTCTTCTATTGTACATTTTGATTCCTTTGTTGGCTAAGTTGTTTCCAAGTGCTAACCAATTTGTGAGTATGGCTGCTTTTATGAATGAAGCTTCACTGCAGGATGCAATGCCAGCAAGAACTTCCACCAGTGTTGTGCCATGCATCACAGATCAGAAGTACTCCATTAAATTATGTTGTTTAGCTACAATGCAATCGCACTGTTGACACAATTCACTGCATCAGCCAGCATAAGCACTAGACATTCTTTTTAAATTAAATTTAGTCATAGAACTTTATGCATATTAACWTCTGGGGGTTGGGAAGGAAGACAAAATGTTTTTGCTAGATTAAATTGCTTGGAAACTCAGTTTCTAATATTAGAGAAATGTGGGATTTCAAAGAAAAACATGACCTCGTGGAGTCTTTCAAAACCAATCCAGTCTGGTTTGGCCTTAATTTTTATGTGTTTAAACGAGTTTTGGTAAAAATGTGCTTTATCCTTTTTGCAGATCTTGATTAATGCACCTCAGAGGACCACAGCAATGCATGCCAGTGGCATGCAAACAGGTTCACAGGGAGTGGCAGCCTCAAAAGTCATAGTTTCAATTGGGGAAACAAATAAAAATCTAAAAGGTATGAGGAAAAAAATATGTTGATGGCTTATTGTGTGTTTATGTATTCATGATACAGCTTTGGTTTGTGTAATGGGGTATTTATTGTTTAAGGGTCTATGAAACTGGGGTAGCAAGATCCCCAGGAACCTCCAGTGTGACTTTCCAGAGTTCCAGGAGCTCTGGAAGAAACTTGGGCCATGGGACAGAATTTGGAGTTCTAGGGCATTATTGATATTTCACAATTAATAAAATACAGTAGATTTCAACGGAAGTACCATTTTTGATCATAYAAAAAAAGTTAATGGGTAAACAGCTAATTGCTTATATATTTAATTGCAGTTACCTTCTTGAAGTTGTTGTATTTTCTTACTGAACATGTTTAAAGTGGTTACTATTCCTTAAGTCTTTTACAGAACTTATCACCAGTTACAATCAATGCAAGATTAAGCATCATATTGTGTCCTCTATTTAATAAGCTGTATTTTGTGTGATTATAGATATTTTTAGCTTCTAGCTTAATAATTAGCACTTGTTCCAATGGTATTTTATTTTGCCGCATGTACATTATTAGCCTACCAAAAAATCATCTTGCCAGATCCTAAAATATAAATCGAGGCTCCCAGGATCATATAAGTTATTAAAGAAACATCTGAGCTGAAAAATTCTCTCCAACTTATTCTTTCCTGTAAATAAATTATTCCTGTCAAGAAAACCCCACAACATATAAAATTTTCATTGCTGTCTCTTTAGGATTAGACCTGAACAAGGACAGCTGTTTGTGATTTCCAACTATTTTAAGATCTTATAACCTTGTGAAACTATTTCAGAAGGTGGTAGAATAACCCAGTACTGCAAACCATGATTTTGCTTTTAATCAATTAAAATTAATTAATTACAATTTTATTTTGTAATTAATTAGAGATAAATTTTTTCCTTGCCCCTAGGGGAGTGCTCGCCTGCTCAGACTGAAGCCATTGCTGAGTTACAGCCCCAGTCCATTATCAGTTGCCAYCTCGATTTCAGCAGTGATGCCTTTGACTTCCCAGCACAAGATATTTTTATAGCAGAACCTGGATATGATGCAGTTTCAGGTAAGGTGTGACAAGMTGCCACACTGCAGACAAACACAAGCTCTTTGATCCAGCAGATTTCACGGAATCCCAAAATGGATTGGGTTGGAGAGATCTTAAAGCTCATCCAGTTCCAATCCCAGTCATGGGCAGGGACARCTTYCACTATCACAGAGTGCTCCAAGCCTCATCCAGCCKGRCCTTGGRCACTGCCAGGGATCCAGGGGCAGCCACAGCTKCTCTGGGCAYCCTGTGCCAGGAACTCCCCACCCTCACAGGGAGGAATTTCTTCCTAACATCCRATATAAACCTCCTGTGTTTCCTTCTGAAGCCTCTGAGCTTTGCTCTGTAGGACMTCAGGCCTCAGTGAGTTGTGAACATGGACACTTCTTGTTTCAGTTGGGTTTTCTGCTTGTGACTAAAACATGTGTTGGTTTTCAGWGAGAGCCAGAAGTCAGTAGCAGCCCATTGCATGCTTTTCAGAGTTTTTGTACTAAGTCAAAGAAAAAAAGGAGCACTCGGGTGACAAGTATTCCAAAAGCAGAATATGTCCCAAAGACATGATGATGAACTGTGTCTTGAAAGGGAAAAAATTGCCAGACACTGTGGAGGTGAAAATAAAATTGTGGAAGTCTGTAAAATGTGTTAATGTTTTGAAAGTATAAYGTGATTTGAAACAGAACCAAACCACCATGCACTGTATGTAAAGAACATTAATTATCTGTTAGATTCATCCCTGCACCCAGGGTTGTGTAAACCCCTATTCTACCCTGCATGTGCCTCTCTTACTTCAAATGGGAGTGAAAATARGGGAAAACATGCACCTGGCAAGTTCTGCTTGTTACTGGCACTTTTTATATACCATTATCAGGGGATTTTTTACTACCTTTACTGCTAATAACAGAATAATTGGTTCCATATGAGACTAGAAACTCYGTGAATATAAAACTTTTAAAGGAGCTTTTATAAATAAACTACACCTTCACAGATTTGATGACAGTGATAGTAGCTGGCTAAAATTTTAACACTAGTTGAAAAGAATATGAAATAGGATGTTAAATCTTGTTTTCAGTAAAGCCTTTCAATATTAGCATAAATGTTATGTTCAAAGGGGAACTGAGACTTACTGGTGAATTAAAATGTTAGTGTAAGTTACCAGCTTAGTGTTTGTTTCATGATGTTCAGTTTGGGACAAGGAATCGTTCTATAGTTGTAGTGCTGGGATTGTGATGTTTGACCCAATAGACACACTGTCCAGTTCATCTCCGCACTCCTGATTTTGCTGCTGGTTGAGTTTTGCCACCATTTTTAGCTTTTCTCATCTAAAGATGTCCCAGAAATCTCCCACATGGAGAAAAAAAAGCTGAGCAATGAACAGCCCAAGCTGTCTTGTTCCTGYAGGACACTACACATGCTCCATCAGGATGCACAGCCTCACGGACAAGCAGCTGAAGCACCTGAGCAGGAGCAAGGCCACGCTGAGGGTCACAGCGTCTGTGCGGGGCAGCAGCCTGCCCGGGGAGCAGCTGGCTGCTGAGCTGCCCTTCAATCGCTGGTTCTACGCTGACCAGCCTGAGATGCTGCTCAGCAACCAGGACACAAGCTCCATCCTGAAAATATTTGGTGCTGCTGAAATTTTGGATTCCCTGGAGGTGAGTGCAYTGCCAGAAGGTATTGCAGCATGGCTGAAACGTTTTGAGCTGTTACATGTAGCTTTGTAATGCAAGGCACTCTGTGTCACCTTCACCATGTCAAGATTTGTTCCTGAGGTGATTTGGAARTACTTGTCCTGGAATGTGTTCTTCCCCAGTTTTCASTTCCCAGAGAATCCCAGAATGGGTTGGRTTGGAAGGGACCCTAWAGTTTGTCCTGTTCCAATGCCCTGCCATGGCCAGGGACACCACTAACTGGKTCAGGTTGCTCAGGGSCCCATCCAACCTGGYTTTGGGCCAGTACAGRTGTGTCAGGCTCACCTGGATACGCAGCCTGGGATGAGTTAACCAGCTCATGGCTCAGGAAGCAGAAACCTGCCTGACCCCTGTGGCAGGGAAAGATTCTTGCCCAAACGTGTGTGAGTGACTGCTCATGGTTCACACAGCCCAGTGAGGGCCCTTGGATTTTGGCTGTGGGGGGTTAGCCCAGATCTTTGGAAAGGGCAGGTAAGAGGGGCACCCTTGGCAATCACCAGAGGGAAATGCTGCAGGTGTCACTGTGACGGTACACCTGACCCCTCTTGAGGGGTGAATTGCTCTGTGTTTCTGTGGAATCACCCATTTCTGACAGCTGGCCTGGAGAATGCAGATGTGCTGTGCTGTCCCGAGCAGTCTGTTTCATGTTGGTTGTTCCCTCTGCAGGTGAAATGTGAGTCCCCAGCAGTGAAGGTGCTGGAGAAGGAGAAATCCTATGGGCTGCCTAGTTATGTGGTGTACACTGTGAGCCTGGCTGATCCCAGAGTTCCCAGCCAGGGCTCCCTGTCCACCTCTCTGACKGTGTCCAGTCCCATGACAGACCAGTCCACCACTATCCCAGTGACAGTGATCTACCTAGCTGACAGAACCACTGCACCAATGAGATGTGAGTTTGTCTCTGCACTCCACATGCCTGAATAAACCTGTAACTTCCACTGATGCTCATGAGGTTATGAACTTCAGCGTGTTAAAATGGGAGCTGGCAGCTGGCATTGTCAGTGACATGTGAGCTGCTCTCTGTGGCCGGAAGCCTGGAATACAGTTGCTCATTATGACTGAAGTTGAACATATTTTTTCTTGGGGTCAGCCTAGAGTACTCCAAGGTGACACAATTACACYAGTGCTGTAGTGCTGAAAGGATTTTGTTGTTGTTTATTCCCAGCCACAACTTGCTATTTTGCAAACAGGTCAGCATTTTGGGGCTGAGAAAGTGAAGAACACACTTAAGACATTAATTGCAGAATTTGAGAAGGGTCCAGGTTGGGAGGGACCTTAAAGCTCACCCTGTTTCACCCTCTGCCATGGGCAGGGAMACCTCCCACTATCCCAGGTTGGTCCAAGCCTCATCCAGCCTGACCTTGGACAGTTCCAGGGATGAAACAGCTACAGCCTCACTCAACATCTTAAGCTGTTACTGGCCAATTTTGAAGACTCTACTGGAAATAGTCGCTAGAATCAAAGTTGTATTGTTTAAGTTGATTACACTTRTTTGCTATAAATTAAACTTGGTTTTGCCTGTTTTGGTTTAGGAGCTGTAAACTCTTAAACCAGATTGGAGAAGATGCTCTTTTTAACTCAATATTGYCTTTTCTTAATCAATTCTACAGATGAAGCCAGTCTCTTCCAGCAGTTTGTTGAGTCCTACCAAGTGATGATCTTCACATTTTTTGCACTCCTGGCAGGAACAGCTGTTATGATCATAGGTAACAGAAGGAAAGATTGCACAAGTATTTTTTTCTGTGGCTTCTTACAATGTGTTAGTTGTAAGATAAAAAGGAATAATTGCCACATGAAATGATTTTGGTTTGTTTTTCAACTCTCTTGCAGCCTACCATGCATTCTTCTCACCAAATGAACAGCACAATCAGCCRGTATTTCACACAAGGATAACTCCTCAGCACACCCCTAACAGTAAGTAGCTGTCACCCAGTTAGAATTAATTGATTAGTYTGGCCATTGCACTGGAATTGAATGTAGGAAGGTCTGTAATCAAAACAGGCTATTAAAAATAATTCACATTCTTAGAGAAGTGTTTAAGTTCCGTTAAACTGCAGGCCTGGTTGTGAACAGGCCTGGTGCTTCAGATAAAATCAAATTCAAATGAATGTCACTTGCTGAGGCATCCCCCTCAGACTTAAACAGTCCTGAACAGGAAGACCTACAAACATTTGATACTTGTAAAGTACTTTTTCAAGAAGCAGTAAGATAAAGGCATTATTTCACTTTGAATGGATCATTAGACTTGTGCCAGCTCTCAGCAGCAGTTACTTGTTTCTTCCTTCTCCCACCATCCCCGAGGCTGATTTTTGTTCTCTCCTTCCCGTGTTTTAGGTTCCCTTGTGTCACCTACACATTCCTTCAGTTCCCAATCCTCGAGCAGGCAGCCAAGCCCCTCGACCACGCTCTGGAGCACGGGTTATGCCTCTCGGTGAAGCAGCAGGGCCCATCCTCATGCTGGGATATAAAACAACACAGTGCCTTTCAAGTTCAGCAAGTTCAACAACTTAAGCAGCTGTAATGTAATTCAAGTTTTCTCTTGAATATGGCAGTTTCTTAATTTATTTTTTTTTAATATTTAGGGCTCTTTATTTTTTTATGTTAGTGCTTCRGTTCTCAAAACCTTGTTTATCTGTTGTTTTTTGCTGCCTGCACAAAAAGCAATGTTTATGCTAATCTGGCTTWCTTGCACTCTTCAAGCAAATAGAAGTTATATCTAAGTTAGAGTGATAACAATTTTTTRTTTACTTTTTGTAAAAATTAGGTTTCTTTTCAATGAACATTTWAAAAAAGGGAAATTATAAAAACAGGTGAAATATGAGCCAAAAATTTAAAGGATTGTATATTTCAAAGAACTAGTTTTTATTTTGCGTTCCAAATACTCAGGAATGTATTGCACTGATAAGTGTTCTTATATTTAGCCTTACACTGGGATTCATCAGCACAATGTGCTGGTTTAGCACTAGGAATGCTGGAATAGCTGTGAATAATTCGGAGGGTTTTTTACAGCAACAATTAAAAAAAAATCAAACTTAGTGTGGCTTCCTTTGGGTACAACTGCAGTATTCCTTGGTACTGTAAGCACTTTCTTGAACTGGGAATGTGAAAGCATGTGCCTTCTAAATGAACCTTTCTTCTGGTAGGCATCTTTTATTTTGTGAATATAATCACCATCCCAATCACTTTTATCTGTAAGCAGGGTTTTGCAGCTATCAGAAAAAGGCTTTGTTTACATATAAAAAGAATCCCAATTTTCACTGTGAATATTCTGGCTGTCTGAACTCTGCTAAGGACCATAAGGAATGTGAAATAACAAAATACTTAATCCAGAATACTTTGTACAGAATTATGCAGGCAAATATGTGAATGGAATGCAGACCCAGTGCATGGCATTGAGTTTTGGTTTCACACAGTATTACAAAAAAAAGGACTGTTACATGTAAWTGTATGGAGTCTTGTTTAACTTACTGGCTAGTTTTGGACAAGTTGTGCCTTAAGTGCTAGTACCACTTAAAATGGTCAGTTTGGATGTAGATAATTATTTGAATCTGTATTAAAGTTTTCTAAGATTCCTTTATTTTGCCATTGATGAATATTTTTGTGGTTTGGCTGTTCAGAATCTACCACTGGGCTATATTATTTCAATCTGTATTATTTAATAAAGTTTTTTAAGATTCCTTTATTTTGCTGTTGATTAATTTTTTTGTGGTTTGGCTGTTCAGAATTTCGCACTGGGCTGTTGTTTGTACTTCACTTGCTACAGCCCCTCAGTGTTTTCAATCATGATTTTCCAATCTTAATTATCACTTTTTTGACAGTATAATGTTTTTAGATATTTTGAAAATTTTTCAACTATTATTTGTTGTCTGGGATTTCTCCCAGTTTTCACTAAGCATCTTCAATTCCTGCTGAAGTCAGKGATGGTTGTAGAAGAAGCTCATCAATTTGTAGGGTTGTTCAAACTTCCCATTTTGTTCATTTGGGTTTTTAAGGAAATATGTGATACTTTTCCATTTCCATTCAGCAAGAAACGAAAGGGTTGTGAATATCTGARTGCTACTGTGATAAGCACTTCAGAAATGTTTAAAGGAGAGGTTTTACTCTTCCTGTTGCTTCTCTTTCCCCTTCAGTGGTCTGGCAATGAATGTTCTGAAAAACAAACTGCTCCAAGTGGTGGGAATACATTGGCAAATGCTCGCTGTTTATTTCATTTCTTTAGGCAAGTAGTTGCAGTCTGCTGGCAAGAAAAAAGTAAAAAGTATGAAGTAGGGAGCTGGTATGACTCAGGAACCAACCTCTCCAGCAAGGAACAACCAGGCTTTTGCCTTGAGGAGCTCATGTGATCTGTGGGACCATTGCTCGGGGCTAGAGGGCTTTGGGGATATAAATTTTTCTGAGCATGTTGCTGCCAATGTAAAGATAATTTTTGTAGTAGAATAAAATGAGATGGGGGGGGGGGAGGGGTTTGCATTGTAGTGCTGAGTCCTTCCCCTGTTCACTTAAGGCTTGTTCTGAGTGTTTGCTCCCCTGAGAGGGAAAAGGGCTGCAGGGCAGTGTCTATTCCAAGGTCCAGGTCTTTCATGAGCTGAAATGTCTTTCTGAGTTTCTCAGGTAATCAAACAGTGCCAGCTCAGACCCAAACCCCAGTCCCTTCCCATCCACCAGGAAATTTGGCACCTGAGCAGGAGTAGGATTTGGTATGTGCCAGCAACAGCAGGTTCATCACAACATGCTGGTACATGGATAAAAATGTCAGGTTTTGAAAAAGAAAAAAAGGAAACCCACTCATTGAGTAGTGAAATCACTGGGCTAATGGCCTGGGCTGGCTTTGCTGTCCCTGAGTGTCGCTGTTGGCTGGACAGGGACATGAAATAATAGATACACATGTACACACGAAACTACAACCTACTTTATTACGGGGCAAGCCCCTTTTATCCACTTAGCAACACGTGTATACATTTGTGGYAAACATACATTGGTTAGTGAGGAAGCTATTTAGCTATTCATCAGCATATGATTGGTGGGTTTGCAGAAGCTGCAGTGTTGTTTAGCATTCCATTCTCCTTTTCCCATATGCAGCCAAGGTCTGGTGTTTCTCCTCTGTTAACACTCCCTTCTGTTTCCAGGTTTCAGTCATACACTTTTATTAGCGGGGTCTCGGAACCAGCAGGGGCCAAGTGCCGGCTTTCGGCGTCCACATCTGAGCGCCCGCCCCTCAGCGCTCCGCGGCAGATCCGCGTTCCTGGAAGTGCCCGTGTTGGACCCTGCGGGATGTGCTCAGGGCAGAGGCTTCCCCTGGGCAGTTGCGATACGCGGCAGAGAAGGCGCTCGCCGGGAGTTTTCCCTCAGGAGCTGAAGCAAAGCCCGGCCCCGAGGTGCGGGCTCGGCACAGCCGCTGCCGCTGCCCAGGGCGGGAGCTCGGGGGGATCGCGGCGGCGCTGAGCTCTTCCCTCCGAGCGGCGCTGCTTGGCCTCGGCTCACCGAACCATTACCGCTGCAGTTTCTAACACACTCCGGGCTTTATCTTTGATGTGCTCCTGCACGAGTGTGTTTTCTGTCCCGGCACAGATTGTCTGCTGTAAATCGCCGGTGTTGCGCGAAGCGCCCTCAGAGCGGCTGAGGGGAGGCGGCGCCATGGCCGCAATTCAGCGCGGCAGGGCCCGGACAATGTGCGCTGTACAGAACCTTCCCCACCTCCCTCTTGTTAGGAAAATTAATCCACAAGTACCAGAGGTTTATTTCCAAAAAGGAGACAGAGGAGTCCCGCAACTTTATTCATGAATAAAGGGAGAGGTCACGGGCATTTCCCATGGGGTCTCTCAAATTTATAGAGAACGCAGCCTCCTTTTATCCCAATTTCCCGGCCGCAGTCCCCTCTCTCTTTCCCCATTGGCTGAGGTACTTGAAAGTTACAGGCTCCCCGAAACGCCTGATGAAACTCCCCTTCTATCATAAATTCCCCCTTTCAATATACATCTCTGTGTCTCTGCTCAGGTAGTCTATTAACATAGACTGGGGTAAGCCAATCAGTAGAATTCCTATGCAAATCCTTCCTATTGTTTCCTTCTATCTCCCAATATCAGCCTTATCTCATCCCAGAGTCAGAGTCTGTTTGTAAAGACACTGCCTTCTCATTCCTTTCACTCTGACTCCTTATTTCTCTTTAAAATATTTAGTACATGATGGAGAAACCCCAAAATGTCTTACTCTGTCCTTCTTTTTTTAAAAATCTATCAGACTTGAAGTGTGGCAAACAAAAATGAGAAGTCATATAGAAGGTTCAGCTGTGATCAGCAATGGGTGTCTGTGAGGGTTAAGAATGAAGAGGAAACTTCATACTTAAAAAAAAATAGTTGAAATTCTGAGCAAGTTGTGTAATCTGTGTGGAGGGAGGGCCCTCATCCCTGAGGTGGCAGGAGATGTCACCTCTCAGAGGTACTGCTGGCTGGGCTGTGGTGGGAGACCTTCAGGGGGTTGGGAAGGAGGGAAACATCAAGGAAACATTTAATAACAACAACTTWATTATACTRAGCCRTAYTAAATATTGTTATCCTGAAATGTARTAGAAAAAAAACATGGAAACTRAGTACTYAGTAGAATTGGAGAGTGCTATTGCTGTTGTTGAAATGTCTCTGCTCGTTAAAGTGCGCCCCGAGCCTGCCATAGGCAGAGCTATGGAAGGACAATCTCTGCCCATCTCATGCTTTTTGGTCAGGTGGCTCAGATTTCTCTCCTGATTCCTGTACCTGATCACAGTTACCAGGAGGATGCTCTCCTGTGGCAGAGGACAGAGTCCAGAGGAAAATGGGATTAGCTAGAACTGCACATTCCCTCACTATTTCCCTGTGAGCTGATGCAGGGGGCAAAGGGGACAGCGCTRTATTCCCTGAGCACCAGGAGCAGTTTTGTTGCCRGAGGCTGCAGAACAGCAGGGAGTGTGTGTGAGCCTGCACACACAGCRGCTGCTGCTGCAGCCACACGGGCAGGGACGGTCCCTCCACTGGGACAGGGACATGGAGCCTGTCTTCTGTGCCAGGCTGTCCTCTGCATCCGGAGAATCCCTGCCTGCCAACAGCTGACCAACAGCCCTGTGCCAAGGAATCGTTCCATTAGATTAGCAAAGCTAGCTTAGTATTGGCTTCTACTCCAATCTGCTCCCTAACAGAACATCCCAAAATCAGCCTAATCTTTAYGTCCCCATCTCCTCCCTTAAAAAACAAGGCAGAAGATGATTGAAACATTGCACACAGCATTTCAGGGAAGAGCTCTTTCTGGTGAGCAGCCACAATTATGGTGTGGTGCGTCAGGGGAAGGTTTTCCTGGCAACATGTTATACTTGACTTTTGTACTCTKTATGAAGGATTAAAGTTTTASAGGTGTCARTCCATCCTCTTRGCTAATCSCTRCATTTACTTGCAGATAAAGGTGTTCTTACCTTCCCTATTTGGTTGTTGATTTTGGCTTTAATGAGGAYGTKTCAGTCATTCATGAACATCCTCTGATGATTTCTTAGTGTGGGGCTCMCCACAAAGCTTGGGGAGTTTCCCCATTCCAGCTTCCCCAGTTAGAGATAGAGTTGAAGGACAGCAAGGTCCAGTCCGAGTGTGTTGCTGTAACCCTTGTTTCWGGCAGAGGTTCTCCTGAAASAAAGCAGCCAAGTAATATCCRCTGAAATTGTCTTTAGTGMTGTAGGCAGGGTGTAYAGGTCAGCTTTTTGGCAATTTCTTAGCCAATTCTGTTAATGTCCATAGATTTTTGTCAGAAAACTCATGTTTGTCAGAAATTTCTGGCTGAACATTGTGTTTGTTACAACCCGAGCACAACTGAGGTTTTGGAAYRAGYGCCAGGGGAAYGCTCTTGAGGAAAAATAATTTTTTKAATGTAAATTCTGAAGGTAAGATGCTTTTTGTGTTTGTTTTGAGGAAGCCGTAATACTAGAGAAGCACAGAGTACCTTCCACTAYAGTAGTGCAAGGACTAGGTGTTTCTAGCTACTCATAGGTACTTAMAAGTCCTGGAGGCTTCATTGTTAGTGTAATAGTGAGTGAGCTGGTGGCACAAATAAACCCTGGGATGTTGTATGGAGATTTATGTCCTTGAGTTAGTTATTGGTAATAGACTTGTTTGTAAACCACTGCCCCCTGAGTTGAGGCTGCTGTTTAGACCCAGGACACAGGTASAGCACTGGGACACGGATGCAGAGGTACATTGGTGTGACACTGGTGCACTGGTACAGCACTGGGACGGATTCACAGGTATAGCCAGCAGTCTGCAGTGCCACAGGGCACTGGGCAGTTCCTTCCAACAGAATCAGGGAAGTTTGTATGTGTGTGTGTGTGTGTGTGTGTTTAACTTTATTTTTTCCTAACCATCTTGGCTTTTCCTTGCAGGATGTCCCTGCAGATCCTGTGCCTGTTCAAGAGATTTTTGTACCTGTGTCCCACAGCACCTTTCCTGGCTGTTCCTGTGGTGTGCTGTCTGTCACCATGTCTTGGGAATTGCAGTGACACTTCCTGATACAGGAGTTCTCCTTGGAGAAGCCCTGGAGGTAGTGTTTGGTTAACAGGCAAGGTGTTCTTGCTCTCCAATGAATTCCTCTTCTTTTAAATTTTTTTTTTTTTTTTTTTGGTAAGGCAACTA